TATTTTATTACTAAGAAATTAGCTTAAACCTTAAATTTAATTTGATTTCCATTACCAATTTAACCCATTATCAATTTACCAATTTAAACCATTGCCAATTTAAGAAGCAAATAGTTCAGCTTATAAATTAAATAGTTCTCTAAGAATTAGCTCTTCAGTGAGCTAAATATATCGCAGGATAACAAAAGACTTTCAGATTTTGCTAAGCTCTAAGTAAAGTTTAAAAATTTAAATTTTTAGAGGATTTTAATAACGTTTCTGTAACAAGTATTAATTTCAGGACTTAAATTCTTCTTAAGAGATCTCATTATTAAGTTTTAATGAATAGTCTCAATTGTATATTCAGAATAGTTACAAATGTAAGTCTGAAAAATCTGGCTTAGCATTTACACTTAGGATAATATTGCAAAACACTTCATGTTCAGATACGAATTTGGAAAGACTAAAAGAACGTGAAATAAATTAATCCTAATTTATTTATTTTTATCAGAAGTCGAATAAAACAAAATATGTTTAAACGAAAACAATTTTTACGGTTCATTTAAGACATTTTGAGCTTTTTATTTTTATTCATTCATAGGATGACTAATGTAGATATCACTGATACAGAACTGTAAGAATTAATTAATATTTAAACCCTACAACTAATGGGGTAAAATGATTCCATTTTTTAAACATTATTTAATGTCGGAATTAAATATGCTGGTTCATAGTACAGGACGAATAGACAAAATAAACAAAAAATGTGTATATTAATGAAACTTTCATCATAACTTATAGAAATTTTGTCTATATTTAAAAAGAAAAACTATCCAACCACAATTTAGTAACTACAGTTAAAATTTAATTATAAGATTCTACTATATTTACCTGATCCCTTGAACCGTTCCCACTAAACCAGCAAATAAGTTAATAGCTCAAGAGTAAATAATTTAATAACTCAAAACATAGGTAGTGTAGGAAACGTAGGCCCAAATCAATAACAAAATTTGTACATTCATGAAACTTTGTTCATAACTTTTTCTTGGTCTTATGAATCGAGATCTGTAGAATCCATCCAAATTTCGAGGGTATTCTCTTCTGGTTTTTCGTAATGGATAGCGGCTGTGATAGTGGCTAAATAATTTGCTTAAACAAAGCCTAGTTATGCATCGCTTTTTATATATACTGAGATCACTTTCATGACAATAGAGTCAATTTTCAAAGCTATGGACGAATTTATGTTAAAACTTACAAAAATTAAAATTTGTTGAACATTAATAAATAATTACTCTTATCTAAATAATAATTGTATCAACCTAATATTACCTAATTGATAAGAAGGAAATGGAAGACTTGATATCTTATTTAAAGTATACTTCTCATACTTTGTGTCAGGTATCAGTTGTATAAGAAGAACGACCTTTTTTAATAATTTAATAAAGAAAATATATAGTCACCCCTCGGCGGAGCGGCCAGAGGCCCCACGGATTGATTACAAATCTTACAGCCAATGAAATACATCTCAAGGCTAGCCTTCAGATTAAAATAATATTTATATTCATATACTAAGAAAATATATGTAGTCAAAATGTTTTTAGAATAAATATATGCAAATAAAATAATTTTTTTAATCTATAACAGGCAAAAGTATCTCATATTTGTATAATAGTCTGACACTGTAACATAACATAAATATTCATTTGGTTTATAGTTTAAATATGACAGAAAGTATTGGATGTGACTGAGTTTGTTTTTACGAAAAATATAAATTTACGTCTTATTCAGAGATCATCAAACAGATACAACAATAAACATACTCTTCCCTCTTTCACAAAAATTTAGCCGCTAAGTGTTTTCAAATTAACATCCAAACAACCCTTCTCAGTTTCTTTTATCCTAATCTGATTGTTAAATCTAAAATATCATTTTTCTAAAAGTGGATTAGTGAATTATTGTCTAATTGTGTGAGTAATGAATCGGTGAGGCAATCCAAAAGTGAAATATCTTTAAATGAAGTACAATTAAGGTGCGTCTGTTTAAAACTATTAATGAATTTGATTTTTTATATCATTCTAGAATTTATTGCTAACCCGTATTGCTTCCTTTAATAATTATTAAAGTTATATTTTACCATTTTTAATTTATTTTATGGTTACAGTGTGACATGAATAATTATTTCAAATAAACATAATCAAAGATAATGTAGAGAAAGATATTTTGAAAATTCGGCAGTTAAGTTCAGTGAGACTATTCCGATGAGGATAATACCAGCCTGATATTAAAGAACACTTAAGTTTACATTGATATAATGAATCTAACCAAAACTGTTAGAGCCGTATATGGGGCATCCTTCATTTTGGGAACTTTTTTTTTGTTGGACTGTGAGACTGTGAGACACAGACTACGGGAGAGAGGGGCAAGGGGGACGATCACGCCTCTCAATAAAAATGCTGAGGGAGCGAGAATATCGCTTCGCCCCCCCCCCTTCTTCAATAGTTTGAAGTAAAAAAAATAAATAAAATTGATAACATATGAGATAAATGAATTGAAAAAGATGTAAACTAAAATCGATTAAGAAAATCCGACTAGCTAAGCTGAGGACTATGAGTAGGTGCTTAATTATTTTATCATGACCACTAGCGGATCCAGGATTTCATTTTGGGGGGCTCCAGCCCAAATTTTTTTTTTCATATATATAATGATCATTACTTTATAATATTTAAGAGATAATATTTTTTTTCATAAAACATGGTTACATTTTACCATTTTGGGAAAACTTCAGCCCAAAAGCCGCCCTTCCCCCCCCCCCACCGTAGATCCGCCTGTAATCACGACCTAAATATTCCTATTCTTCTTCCATGTTTCATGTATACAAGTTGTAATAAATCCAATAATTTTGTTCAGATATTTTCAAGTCCATATGCACATATAAACAAAATATTTTTAAATATTAAATATTACATTTTCTCGTTAAACAATAATAATGTTGAATATTTATTTACACATAAAAAGAACTACCACAATTTTCTTTTTTTGTCCTTCGCCCCCATATTTTATTACGAACTTAATTTTTTTATATTAGTTTAACAATACGCACGGGCAGATCTACGGGGAGGGGCTTTCGGGCTGAAGCCCCACCCAAAATGGTAAAATATAACCATCTTTTATCGGAAAAAATACTAAAAAATTATCTCTTAAAGTATAATTATTCGTGTAATTACATTTAAAAGGGCTTTAGGAATCACTTAAACACCAGTTCGTATAGGTACTTAGTTTCTTTCGTATTTTCCAAAGTAATTATCGTTACTTTTATGAAAAAAAAAGCTTTCGGGCTGAAGCCCCCCCCAAAATTAAATCCTGGATCCGCTAGTGACAATACGTATTAAAATATAGCAACGATACCACACGAGAAAAAAAGTTACATTTAAAACTATATTTTTCTATTAATATAAATTATTTCTGTCGTTTCATCGTTGCTTTTATTGGCTGCAATCAATTGTATAACTATTCGACTAGGAGCTACCGACATTTAACTGAAGGACTTGCAGCTAATAACCATTTTAAATTCTAGATAAATCTTTGGGTTTTACCATAACTAAATAAATTCTAGATAAATCTTTGGGTTTTACCATAAATAGTAACAATATTAGCCCAGATACAGAAAAAAATATTGTACCATAATATACTGATTCTAAGCGTTATGAAGTTCTTATTCATGGTCACACCATAAATAGTTCCCACTTTTCTCAAGGATAAACCTGATTTTATTTAAATTTAAATTGTTTCGTCTCTTTTTTAACCAATTTGAGGTTGGATTAAATTAATTGTAAATAGCTTCACTTCAAACTAACTTCGACCGACAATCTATACAGCCATTAAGATTAAACACGTATTTCAGCACTATTAGGATCTGTACTTATTTGTTCTCTTATTCAAAATATGGTGTAATTAGTATTTTTTCTTGGTAGTAATTTAAATAGAGAAATAATTGACCTTAAACTTCGTATCGCCTCCGATGACGTCTTTCATTTTTGCTAGAAGGTTCGACAATTATTCAATTTCATGAAAACGAATAAATAATGTAGATAATTCAAGAGCCTAATCATTACTGTATTTAAATACCTGTATCTGGCTGTTTTATTTTTTATTTTATTTTTTGCTTTAGCTTTACAGACCTTATAGATAGTCCTTAACCAACCTGAAAAAACGAATAAATAAGGTTGATAATTCAAGAGCCTAATCATTACTGTATTTAAATACCTGTATCTGTCTATGTTTTTTATTTTATTTTATTTTTTACTTTGGCTTTACTGACCTTATAGATAGTCCTCCTTAACCAATCTGAAGCATCTTTGTTGATTCATAGTGTCCCCCTGATTTTTGCCAGCTAGTGAGGCATCTCTTGTTCTCCTCAATTTTTATAAATTGTAATTATATATATATATATATATATATATATATATATATATATATATATATATATATATATAACTTGTTTCAATTAATGTTATGAACAAGTATAATTATTTATATCATTGATCTTCTAATGAACCTATGTTAATGATCATAAATAGTGCGAGCTTATCTATTTATTATATCTAAATATTATTATAAGACAGGTTGGTATATTTTAGGGGTGTAAATTTCTTTTTGTCCTTAAATTTAATGTTTCTTAAATGTACTTTAACTGTATATGCAAATAACATTGAAGACATAATATACTCAATATATATAAATAAATTAACAAAACATTCAGTTTAAGGACAGCAAGAAAATGTCACGAAATCTCTCATTTATTTATATCTAATGGTAATATTACCATATCATAAATTATTTTTTGGAATTTCATACTGAAAACCGTATCATAAAAGTAGCTCATTCTGTAATCCATATTTGTTAAAAATGATTTATGTTAAAAACCTTAGAAACATAATTAGAACACTTTTGTCTTATAAATTTTAGGAATGAAAAATAATTTTAAGTATTATATAATATATAGTACTTGGAAGTAATTGACTATGGATCCTGAAGACTTTAAACAAATGGCCAAAGAAGCAATAGACTACATAGTTGATTATATAGAATCAGTGGGAAACAGGTGATTTACTTTATTATTATTATATGATATTAAAATTTATAGTATCAAGGAAAAACAATTTATTTTAACCCTTATACATTTCCTTAATGCTTTAATTCATTCCAACATCTCGAATACGTTTCAGGCAATTTTGCCCATTTTCAAGTAAAAAAATTATATATATATAATATCAATCACAATAATTATAAATATTTATGTAAAAAATATAACAGCCCATAAAAAATAGATGGAAATCTAAAATTTCAAATCAATGAATATCTCTACTTAGAGCATTATTATATAATCCATCTAAACATAATTTTATATAATTATTTCTTCAAAATCAATCCTTCATATTACAAAATTCATAACTTATTTATGAACAGTCAAATAAATATCAAAATGAAGAAAAGACAAAAAAAAATTTTTATTACATTAAAATTTTATTATATAATTTACCTGTGGACAGTCAAAAATAAATATTATATGACAAAATACCCCAATGTTAAACATTTTCGTCCTATTTAAAATAAAAGCCTAATGTCCACTGTGAGATTTGGACTTGCCTATTATTTTACTCATTGGGATTAAAAGTACTGCATTATTAAATGATAATTTGTCTGTTATTAATAATAATTTAGCTAAATTATGTCTACATAATGTTGCCTAATCCTCTTAATATAGTTTTTAAAATTAACAACATTTTTAATTATATTAATAGCTTCTAAAAATTCTCTTATTTTATTATCTTGAGCCCTATTTAAAATTTCTATTTTATCACAATCAAAAATATGTTTATTCAATATACTATGCCTTGCTAAAGCTGTCACATTGATGTTTTTTGGTATTTATTTTATGCTGATTTATTCTACTCTATTGTGTAAATTTTGAGATGTTTCCCCCAATATAAAATTTATTTGGGAATTGTTTACAATTAATTTTATAAATTATATTTTGTTTATTTTTTTTTTACTTTTTTATCTTATCCTTCATATTTGTTTAATTTATTATTATTATACTAACCAAATTTTATATTATTATGGTCATATTTTTTTAATGCATGATTAATTTTATTAGTTATTCCTGGTATATATTTTAACTTAAAATAACTGCTCATTTGCATCATGTTTTGTGTTCCATTTTTATTGTTTTTTTTCTCCATTTGCATTGTCCTTTTTGGTGGTTTTAAAAAATCAATTATCAGACCTCTTTTTTTTTGGTTTTTTGTTATAAAAAAAAACTGATACTATTATATTACCTATTATGTTTTATATAAGGTGTTTGTTTTACTTTTATTTCTATTTTTATTTACTTATGTGTATATATATATATATATTTTTTTTTTCTTTACTCTTTTGTTCTTTCTTCTTATTCTTTTGTTATTACTTTATTTATTTATATTTTTGTATATACGGTATGAATGCAATCTCTGAACTCTATTATAAGTGTCCTTACACTGTGACAAATTGTAATATTTCTGAATAAAGTGTTTTAATAATAAAAAAAAAAAAATTATATTACCTATAATGAACTTACCTGTAACTGATAAACTTTATTCAAATTTATCATCTAATCATTAGGGCTGTTCTTCCTAATGTTGAGCCAGGATATCTTCATCACATAATACCTAAAGAAGCACCAGAACATCCAGATGATTGGAGACAAATTATTCCTGACATTGAAGAAAAGATAATGCCTGGAGTATGTAGTTTTCCAATATTAATTTATTAATAAAATAACAAATTTGAATGTTTTGAATTCATGTTTCAGATCACACATTGGAACTCACCCATGTTCAACGCATATTTTCCAGGCGGATACTCATACCCAAGCGTAATTGGTGATCTGCTTAGTTCAGGGATTGGATGCATTGGATTTAACTGGGTGAGAATATTTATTAAAAAACTAATATATGACATGAACTTACCGAAAAATAAAAAAAGGTGAATGGTTTAGCATTCCTGCCCTTTTTATATTTTTGCACTTATTGCCGACTAACTTGAAATTGAACCCTTCTACCATCTGCTCCTTTTTGTCCAACTGTCCTCAAATGATCATTACTCTCACTAGTTCTTTTTTTAATCCCCTCTTCACATCACCTATGTAGAGTGTCAAGGTTTCATTCTGATGCTTTTACAAGAACGCCTTTACAAAATAAATTGTATGTGAATCTCACGTCTTTGTTTTGCTATATCTCATAGGTGGAGAACCTCATTATTATTAATATTATAAAAGGCCGCTGAAAGATTAGGCAGTGCAAATGGAGTCGGCCTCAATCGTTTATATTTTACTGTTGCTACTTTTTTCATAACTAAATACACAAATCCATATATTGAACTTCTTTGATTAATTTTTTAATTTTCCTAACCTAAATAATTGTATTAATTTAATATATTGATCAATTCTAGGGCTATATTCATAAACATTGCACAAAAAGGTATGGGGGGCCTCTGCTAGCTCATGGAGGCAGCAGATTTCCTACTTATTCTATACCCTATCAATTTCACTTATCCTGTCTTTTCATCTCCCAAAATCTAAAATATCTTCTAAACAATTCAAATTTAAACGTAAGCTTTATTTACAGAAGAACAGTTATGTTAATCGAGCGGCCAATGATATGGTTGTATCAGATATATAATATTAAATATAATCTCTATCTTTTGACTTTCATTAAAAGAAGACAGAGCTACGACATATGACAAAATCTCTATTTTCAAGCCACAGAGAGTTTGGTCTGGAAAACTTTTTTTCAGTGTAGTTATGAAATCTGCTAAAAAAAATACCTTATGCCTCATAAGTTTTATAGAGCCTGCCTGGCTTAGGTGTAGCGTGGAGAGAAAGTATAAGTACCAATGACTCAACTTAATTTGAAATAAATTAAAACTAATACGAGCTCATTTAAAATTGGAAAAATATAAAAAACATAGAAGGTTTTTTTTTCTCCACCTGAAACTGAAGATTGCGGCCATGCCTTTGGCCTTTAAATAGTTGTTGTCATTGATAAGGAAAATTCGATGTTCTATAGGTTTCCAAAAGTTAGAAGAATGCTATGCCTATGAATATTTAGCAATGCCTGAAGAGTCAGTTTTATATCCTAATGTTTAAAAAAAAAATTGTTTCAGCTTCTTAGTCCAGCATGTACTGAACTTGAAGTGATTGTTCTCGATTGGCTAGCGAAAATGATGGACCTTCCGGATTTCTATTTGGCAAGTTCTGATGGACCTGGTGGTGGAATCATTCAGGTCAGTAAAACATAATCAGCTTATAAAAATATCTTAAAGATAATTGTTATATTTTTTAAGGTAATGAGCAAAATTATATATAAACATTTGTATTGAATAACCTTGGACTATAATTCATAAAAAAGCGGACTGAATGAATTGTAGACACTCAACATCATACTATTACTTATAATATTTAAGTAATTAAGTTAGTTCATTAATATATATCAACATCATAATCTAGTTCCTCTTTACTGCTTAATTGAGGTTCTTTTTTGCAGAGTTTGGATCTCTCCCAGACCGGCCTCGTCTCCTGTTCCATTCTAAACCTCGCTTCTGGAACCCATTTTGCATGCTTTTTCCAGGAGATTCGGATTCTTCCTCTAGGTCTTCTCCTCTGCATATAAGAAATTGCCCAAACTATCTTAACTTATATTATTCTATAATAGTTTCCATCGCTTTGACGTCAATATTGGCACGAATGGTTTTATTCTCGGATGGAATCCAGTCTTGCAAAATCTTCCCCTCCACTTTTCGTGTGTATCGCATCTCTGGAACCTGAATGCGGCTCGTGTGCTTTGAAATGAGCATTCAGGACTCAGAAGAATGTGTCAGTATAGGAAGGAACACTAATCTGTAGACTGCCATCTTCGTTTTTTTTTGTTACCTTTTTTTCGGTTGAGGAAGCCTTTCCTGACTGAGTAAAATATCCTCTGCCTCACTTCCTCATCAATTAATCAATTTTTGTTGAGCTGAGCACCCAAGTATATAAAATGTTTTACCTGCTCCAAACTCCCACCTTCGACTCACAAGGACCTCATAACTCTATGAGGTTTTCTCCCAATGCGCATGCATTTCGTCTTCTCAGGATTTATTTCCATATAAATCTCTCTCAATTCTTTCTCGAGGGTAAATATTGTTCTGAAGGACACGGTCATTCTGGGCCAATATGATGAGGTTGTCTACAAAAAACAGCAGAGAGTAAAGAGTAGGCTGGATATTAATGTTTATTCTAGGGAATTTATACCTCCGAAGTATTCGCACGAATACTTTAGCATCATCATAATTCTTAAGCAAGGAATCTAAGGTCTATCTTACATAATATTTTATATTATACAATCTCACAACAGGCTCACTTATGGCTGAAATTGTTGTATTGAAATCTTAGATTAATAAAACAACTTCATGTTTCTAATCTGTAGGAATTTTTCCCATCATTCTCCAGCTTTTTTTATTTTTTGCCGGTAGATTAAACTCCTCAGAGTCAAGGATACAGAGAGTAGCATTTTCAAATAAGTAATTGACAAAACGTTGAATAAAGTGAATATGAATCTTAGTACCAATTTGACCCATTCCAAACTTGAAGCTCCTACATGTGAAAAATGTGACAATATCCCACAATCTGTATAACACTTGTTGCAATAATGCCTCTATTTTTAAAAAATAAAGGTCTATAAAAATGATAAACAATAATGAAGAGTAAGCCTTTATTATTTTCCAAAACCATATGATATTAAAACAGAGTTTGGAGTTTTAAAACTAAAACAAAGCTTTTAGCAGTATTCGTTGGAAATTTCAGTCAATAAATAATTTTATTAATTTTTTTTTGTCTTCCCCTTTAAGACTATACAGGGTTTTTCCGGTTCAGGGAATGAGGGTGGAGATTTAAAAGACTCCCCTGGCACCGGTGAATGGCAGTGCTGTGCACACATGTTAGACCATTCGGCCACCCCTCCCACTTTTATTTTGTGCTTTTTCAACTTTTGTACCTTTATTATTACTGATTTATTATTTTCAATAATAAACCATTGTAATTGACCAATAAATTCAAAAACTTAACCTCCTTTCAAAATTTGAGGTTTTAAGTTTCATGATACGTAGAATTAGAAAATAAAATAAAAATTTTTATTGTCCGCACATTTTCGCTGAAACTACTAGACCAATTTTTTTCTAATTACAATTTAAAGTCAGAGGTCATCCGAGGGTGATCCTCCTTCATCGGTATTACTATCCGCCTTTTTCTTTGAAGGTTGCAGCCAAAAAAACCTATGTTGTTCTAGACTGTGGCGCCTAAATGAATGTACTGACTACAATGAAACTTGCCTAAAGTCTTCTTTGCAATGCCCTTTAAATTTATCTATATAACATACTTCAACGAAAAGAATCTGCAAAAAAAGTTATGAAGAGTGGTAAAATTAGATTCCAAATAACTCAAAAAGTATACACTTTTTTGTCAATATTTTATTAAAGTTTATGAAATTTCCTTAAAATTTTTCAAATCGGACAATTTGGAGCAAAGATATGGTCTCTAGATATTTTTTTAACATTTTACTGCAAAGTTTAAATCCTTTGTTTTGGTTTTTGATTTTTGAATGAGTTACTGAAGTAAAGCTATTCTTTTTGTTAGCAAATTACTAATGATGAAAAAACAAGTAGTTTTGGCCAATAATAGGAATCACCTTTTATTTCTTTTTTTTGTTACTAGAAAGGTAATGTTATTTTAGATGTATAATAAATTGAAAATAATAAACCATTGTGAAATAATTTGCAGCATTTTTTTTAATGTGTTTCTCACTGTGGCTGTGATTCCCAATTATCATAACTTCCCAACCGTATTATCTGCAATCAACGATTTAATCACCATTTTAAAGTATTGTTTGATGCCCATATTCTCTGTGATAGATGGGGAAGTAAAAATGAATAAAGAAAATTTAATAAAATGGATAAAAAAATAGACAATCTTCATCCATTATTTCTTTTGTTTTAGACCTCGGGAAGTGAAGGAATTCTCGTTGCACTACTTATTGCAAAGCATAAACTAACTCGTCAGATATTAGAAAATGATCCTTCCTTGGATGAAAATACCATAAAGGGAAAACTTATTGCATATTCTTGTGGTAAGTTGAAGTTATTTATTTCTTCCTATACGTTGATATGGATAATCTTACAATGTATTAATTGAAATATTGGAACCAAAGTAGGCTAAAGAGGTTTGGTCTTGTATATCATAACGTTCCTTGATTACGGAGCCTAGGATCATTCATACATACATATTTATATTCTTACAACTTAATATAATATTGATCTAAGAGTAAGCATTCATCTTTAATACAGCGGATTGTTTCCTTTCGGGGCCCATAGACTGAATACGTACATTAAGAACGTTAGTGAATATTATGGATAACATGGATTATACTCTAGTACTAGTACTAGTGGAGGAGAAGTAGTCTGGCAAGTCGGCCACATGGTCCTTTTTGCCAACCCTGGACAACCTATGAGGTTTCCGTCGTGTACTTACCAGAGTGAAAATGTTAAGATTCATTTCCCGGTGCCGCTGAGAAATAAAAATTAACTGCCTCAGGTTGAAATCGAACCACAACATTAAGAACCGAACACCGTGGAACACATGCCCCAACGTGTTCAGCCACCGCTTCCTGTAATTCCAATATAAGTAAGAAAGGTAAATCTATTTTAACAATAAAAATTTTCAAGTTGTGAACATCTATTTTATACTTGTTTTTTTTTTTTACTTTCCTACCTATACTAGGTAAGTATTGCAATTGGGTCAAATTTCTGATATGCGATTTTTGACGGATCTATACGTTTCAGAGCTCCCTGAGTCCGAAAAACACATTTTTAACCATTGGTCTGTCGGTCTGTCTGTGCCAAGATTTTCTCGAGAACTACTGAACCAATTTTGTTGCTTATTTTTTTATTTTGTAGGGTTTTCAATATTGATGCCTGTGACACAAATTGGATGCTCCATGCGCAATAGCTGCTGCGCAATAAATGAAAAACATGTTTTTTTAGACTGTAGTGCAAAAACGGCTCTAACTATTTTGATGAAACTTTCCTATAATGTTCTAATAATTGTCCTTTCAATTTTCATATATGGATTAAATTTCCGAGAAAATACAGGAAAAAAAGTTATAAAGAAAAAAAAAATGTTTTATGGCCTAACTCGCTAAGTATATATTCTATGGTAAAATTTATATTGAAACTTTTGAAAGATGATTAAATTACCAACAAAACAAAACAAAAATCATCGGAATCGAACCAGTATTAGCGCTGATACAGCATATTCTATTTTCTATTTTAATTTATTACTTTTCTACCTATACTAGGTAAGGAAAGTATTGCAATCGGGTCAAATTTCGGATATGCAGTTTTTGACGGATCTATACGTTTCAGGGTTCGAAAAACTGAGTCTGAAAAACACATTTTTAGCCTGCTTTTTTGAAAGGTAATGAAATTCCTGTATATAAATCGTTCATTTCGGATAACTATTAACAAAATTACAGCAATTTAATTTCCAATATAAGATTACGGGTTCATATCTTGGTGTCAGAAAGGGGTGAATGAGATAAAAGATAACTAAGTGAAAGTAAGAAAATCTCTTGCCCGCATCACACAAGCTTCACTATTTCCTCTACTTTTAATAGAAACAGCATTATTAGAGGGTATTGAAATGTTTATACTGAACTACCTTAAATTGGTTTACATTGCTTTAGTTTATCGAATAAATTATACTCAAATCTTTTCTTTGATCAATTTTCAGGAAAATAAATCTAATTCAATTTGTTTTTGTTTCTTGATGGACATATGTAAAGATATGAAAACTTCTGAAATAGGTAGGAAAGTCATGTGAGTGGACACACCAGTTTTTTTAATTTTATCATACACTAAATTTAATTACATCACATTTGAGGCTATAGATAATAACCTCTTTAACATGTAATATTAACATGTAAGAATTCCGAAACAGAATCTTGCGAACAAAAGCTGAACCACTGTGCAGTCAACACCATTAGGAAAAATGATATTTCTTGTATTATTTATATGTATAGTTATATTCTAGTGTCGTCTGTTGTTGTATGAATTAAACATAATTTTTAAAAATTTAGATCAATCCAATTCCTGTGTCGAAAAAGCGGGCCTTTTAGGTTCAATGAAAACGAGATTACTTCAGGCAGACAATGCTGGCCGACTGGTTGCATCCACCTTACTCGACGCTATAACACAAGACAAAGAGAATGGACTTATACCTTGTTTCGTAAGTATTCATTTATTAGTTTTAGTTCTATTTTTTCTTTCTTTAAATTAATAAAAAAATCAATTTCATTGTAAAAAAAAAAATTTAATTGACCAGATCATTGGTGATGTTGGACAGTTAAATGATGGATGTTCAAAGTTTCTGCAATGTATCTTATAGACTCAAATAATGCACCTTATCGTTGGCCTTTGTGATCCGAAAGCATCAGTTAAGTTACCCAGTTGGAATTTCGTGAACCATCATGAGGCACTTACGTTTTTGGTTAATATAATAATAATAATAATGCTTTATTTATTCTGGGACGAGTCCCTTTAGAATAATACAGAAAGACAAAAATGTGGGCTAAGGAGCCTCATAGATACATAAACAAGAATATAGTTTGATTAAATAGTCAAAATAATAAAAGAAATTATAAGTTACTTTCTAATTTAAATCAGTTAATAATAAAAAATAAAAAATTGAAAATAAACATGAAGTAAAAATATTGAAAAACAATCTAATAATTTATATACATAGTTACAGTAGTAACTATTTACAATTTTATGAGGACTGGATGGATAAGAAATGATTAAACAGTCGGGATTTAAAGGTAGGAAGGGTTTTGGATTGACTAATGTGGGGAGGGATGGAGTTCCATAGAATTGAGGATCGAATAATAAAAGATTTATCGAAAACAGCGGTTAGGTGGGCCATTATATATAAATCTGCAGACCAGAAACGGGTATTGCAGGAGTGGACAAAGGATTTAAATTGAAGGAGCTCAGAGATGTAATGAAGGACGGCGGGAGTGAATTACTTGGAAGAGGAAGGGTGCCAGAAAATACTTATGGCGGTAGGAAGGATAAAGCCATTTCAACTCTTCATAGAAACAGGAAACAGGGGCGTCTCTTGGGATCCCGAAGATGAATCGTACAAAGCAATTTATCAAACGTTTTAGTTTTGCCTCGAGATCCCCATATACCGTGCAGCAATAGTCGAAGTGGGGAAATATTAAGGAGGTGATACAGGAGTCCACGGATTTCAAAAGGAAAAAGGTGTCGCAGGCTATTTAAGTGTTTTAGGGTGGAAAAGGTGCGTCGGGAGATATTGTGACCTTCAAATTTACAAAACTTATCAAATGCTGTATAGCTCCTCTCATTCTAAGAGAAAACCTTAAGAAAATGGCTTCATGGGTGTTCAGAAGGGGGTTTCGAAATTTTGACAGGATATTAAATTTTGGCAGGGTAGTGAATTTTTGGAATGGAAAGTTTTAAACTAAGGACAAGAGAAAACAGGGAACAGACCGTAGTAAGTGTAATTGTGTATGATCTTTTTAATTTTACTTTCGTTTGCACTATTATTAAGAAGAGGAGAGAAATAAAATACCTTGGAAAGGAAAGGTTCTTGCACTATTGATCTTGGGGAGAGGAGGGGATGGTCATCCCTGAACAGCTTTATTATTGCGAAGTTTGTTATTTCAAGTCTAACATTCAAAATATAAAAAGAAAGGGTTGTTAATTTTTTTAATATAAAGCCAAACTGTTAATTTTAAATTTTATAAGTACAAGTTTTGAATGATTAAATGTCATTAGCGTAACAAAAATAACATTTTTCAGTAAGGTAATGATATTTATAATTAAAAATTTAGTAATTTAAATATCTAAATGGATGAAAATACTGATTATAATTAATATTAACTGGGCCTATTTATTCATGATTTAAGAATAATTTAATAGGAAAATTCAGTAAAATTATATTGGCAGAAAAAATTATTTTGATTCGTTCTAACAACTTTAACGTGTTCAGAAAATCATTCTTAGTAAAAAAAAAAGTTTAAAAGGAGGTTTTATTTGTGATATAATCTTGGAATTACACTAGCATAGATGTGAATAAGTAAATAGTGAATAGCCCTGTTTAAGTAATAGCAGCTATAAGTGCCATCATGGTTTTTCGGACAACGTGTTTTACCAGACGAAAGTTTAATGTTGGTAAGATATTTATATAACTGAAAATTATTTTTAAAAGATGTGTTAAATAATCAATCTTGATTAACTGAATAAACCGGCAAATTATATTTTTGAAACTACGGATTAGTCAGAATCTATAACATCTTCAGCTATGAACTTCAGAATATAATATTTGTATTTATATGAAATAATATACTCACAGAATATAGGAGCGATCAACTTCAATTTATTTTATCAATTTTTTATTTGAAAAAATTATAATTACAGGTAGTTGCTACGCTTGGAACTACTGGAACATGCGCCTTTGATGATTTGTCAGAAATTGGACCCATCTGCCGCAGAGAAGGGATATGGCTACATGTAGATGCGGCTTACGCAGGTTTTATATGCTCTTGTCACAAGTATTATTATTTTGTTCTGTTTAAAAATTACAAATCATTAAGACAATTGGAAAACTTTATGCTTTTCAATGTACTATTTTCGAATCGCAATTGATATATATGTTCTCTTCAAAATTTCTTATTTTAGAAAAACACCTTCGGAATCAGCAATATTTAAAGTATGATATGACTCCGATAATCTCATGTATAGATGTTTATTGAAAAGCGAACAGTACGGACAATAATTATTAATATTATTTATTTCACGGCACTTCAACCCGATTGAAGGTCTTGGGCTCCTTCAATCACCACGTTCTTGTGCTGACGCCAAGCAGTTTCTAACTCTCAGGATATTGTGAGCATCTCAGCTTTGGCCTCTGTCTTCTCTTTGTTCCATAGATGGGCTATGTCAACAATATTTTATGCATTTCTCCATATGCAATCCTGGCACTATGGCCTGCATATTTTAAGTGCCTCAACTTTATTGCTTTCACATCAGCTTCTCCGAAAGCATTGCACAGCTTCCACAAAAGCATTCGTGCCTGGTTACTATCAAACTTTAACTCTTCCAAAAACATGGCGGAGAACTTTTCTTTCAAAAATAAGGAGTTTTCAGTAGCCTTCTAAGTTGTCCAGTACACTGATCATAAAGAAGTACTGGACACACCAATGTCTTATTAAGGTGAAGCTTAGTCTGTCTGGAAAGTATCCGCCTGCTTAATCCAAAGCTCTGACGGATCCAGGATTTAATTTTTTAGGGGAGGCATCAGCCCGAAAGATTTTTTTGTATGTATATGTTAGGATAATTACTTCGAAAGAAAGAAACTTACTACCTATATGAAATGGTGTTTAAGTGATTCTTTAAGTCTTATTAAATGATATTAGACGAACAATAATACTTTTCATAAAACATGGTTATATTTTTCCTTTTTTTTAGGGGGAGGGAGCTTCAGCACGAAAGACCCCCTCCCTCCTTCCGTGGATCCGCCTCTGATCCAAAGTAAGGGTTATAATAGTAAAGACAATACGCCAGTTTATTTGCTTCCTCTCCACTGAAAATAGGGAAGATTTGTATTCGTGCGGGAGGTTAAAAAATAATTATGCTCAGAATAAAATATTTCCAGTTGCGGGATTTGTGATTTATTTCATGGCAGACCCACATAATGAATCTTGTCCTTTTTAGTATAAGTTAATATATTTATATATTCATATATGTAGTCTCTTCTATGGAATTTAATTTGAATCCAAATACCATAAAAGATCGAAACAATTATCTTCATGAAAGAATACTTCAACACATGCTGGAATTTTCGCCTTCATATTAGTATTTATTATTAGGCTCTTTAATATTCTTTATTATAAATGTTTATTGTTTTATAATTTGTAACTGAATTAAAGGTACCAAGTGCGTTGATCCATCAACTTAGCATGATGGACGAGCACAAAATCATACCATCAATGAAATTTACATGCTCAAAATTAGATTGCGGATTTCGAGTTTCATTTATGTTTGTGTAAAAAATTATTAACAAACCTCCAATGGGGCCTTATTTAAGTATTGTCATATCAGTATACTTTTGGGCACATTCGGCCATTTTCATCATGTGAAATGACATTTGCGTAATAATACCAACATAAATTGATTAAGGAATTTATAAATTAGTAATTAGGGAATATTATTAATACATATATTAATTGGAGAATATTAAAAATACAAATATAATTTAAGGAAATTAAATCATTACCTTAACAGTCACTAACGTTAAATTTAAACTTAAAAAATTAAAAATAAATTGAAGAATGTTTACAGGTGCTGCCTTTATATGCCCGGAATATCGCTATCTAATGAAAGGAATTGAGTTGTCAGACAGTGTTAATATGAATCCTCACAAATGGCTTTTGGTTAATTTTGACTGTTCCGCATTTTGGTAGGTATAAAATGTGTTTTACTAGAAAAATAAGTAATTTATTTTAAATGAAAAAGCCTTAGGGTTGTTGGATAACGGAGGCACATTCCCGGAGGCGCCTGCCACTTGTTGGGAATTGTGATAAGGTATATATCTCAATTCAGCTACTTAATAAAGTAACTGAATTGAGATATATTTTACTTTATTAAGAAAATGTAGATATAAATGCAATTTAAATATAAAGTAAAGTATAATCAGTGGTCACACTCAGCTATGTAATGTTCATTCATTCAGGAAAGTCAACCCGGGTCGACTAATTTTTGCATTTGGATTAAAATATCTGAGAAACTAAAATTGGACCTACATACTGGAAGGAAATGTTCTGCATTTCATTTTATTTGTATTTTTCTTCTTATTCAATAGTCTCTTCTATCTTTCAGTGCAGAGATCATCCTCTTTGTTATGAGTTATAGTTTAAAATTGTATCTTGACGTGACACCATATTAGAGAGGGGAAATGATAGCACAAAAAACAAAACAAATAATGACTGTTTTGAACATTTGAACTAAAATATCTCAAGCTGGATATTTATAGGAAACAGTATATTGGAGTATGATACAAATGATCAGTCAGAGCAAAAGTGTACTAAAGTAATTTATACACAATTATAATTGTATATATTATAAATGTTATTACTTTGTGAATAGAGAAGGAAAAAAATAATTAATTTCATATTATTAAACACGCCTTCTTGGTGTTTTCACTTTTATGCTGTGGTTTTAAGCACCATAGTTACTAGGAGAGGACAAAATGCTAAGCAGTACTGATGAAAGATTATTCTTAATTTCCTTATATTTATAGTAATGGTGGTGGGAACTAAGTCCTTTCTGCAAGTGAGCACATTGTTCTTTTTCACTAATCCCAAAGTAACTAAGTAATTTATTGGCGTAATAAATGTTTCTTTTTGTAGATTTTTGATTGAGAAATTTAATCCTCAGTTTTAATTTTTGTACATAATTATTATTTATAATTTTAAAATGAAAATTCTATAATTTCGTCATTTTTTCTAGTTTATTTTCTAATGTTGACGGAAACTAAAAAAATATTTTTTTCAGGATAAAAGACAGACGTTACATACAAGAGGCCTTCTCTGTAGACCGAATATATCTCAGAGATAGAGGTGAATGTATTGAAAAATGGGCTCCAGACTTCAGGGTAGGTAACCATTTCATCTATGTAACAATGAATTTAGGATACGATTGAAAAATATCTATCAATGTCAATAAAACAAATTTCATTGTGTTACTTTATTTATTTTATTGTAGTGTCAAAAAACAATAATTTGAAAGCCGAAAAAAAGGGCAGGATTGCAGGAACTAGATGTTTCTACGCCCTGCAAAAGGTGTTCTAATACGAAGTCTGTCCAGGAAAGCAAAGCTTGTAATATATAAAACGATTATCTGACCGATCGTTTTATATGGCGGTGAGATATGGACTACAATCAAGAAAAACAGGATAGCCATACTGGTCTGGAAGAGTCCTAAGTAAGATCTTTGTAGCCGCCAGAGAATAGCATAAGTGGAGAATTAGAAGCAACGTCGAACTAATGAAATTATATGGTGATCCTGATACCCTCAGTGTTATTATAAAGAGCAGACTTAGATGGCTGGATTATCTTGAAAGAATGGATCTCAGTAGATTGCCGAAAGTTATGCTGAATGGTACAAGAGGGGGAAAAAGAAAAAGAGGAAGCTGGGGATCAGAAGTTGGAAAAACCTTGTTGTGGACCGTGAGGGGAGTAGAGAAGTGGTGATAGAGGCCCAGGCCCTACAAGAACTGTAGCGTCCATTGAGGAAAAAGAAGTTAAATTTTTTTTTATCGGGCTTTAAAACTAGATTTAATTAAAAGATAATCATATCTGAGTTATAAGCTACATATTTATAAAGGAGGCACTTGATGGCTAGTTATAATAATAAGGCTTAGCGAACCCGAAGGTTCGATGCCGACACCACCAATCGCTTGTTACACACCTCCCTCCACCATTCGCTGTCCAAACCCAGTCCCTTCAGATCGGCTTTAATGCAATCTTCCCACCTTCGCTTCGGTCTACCCCTCGGACGCTTACCATTCGGCACAGCAAATATTAACCTTTTAGGAATTCTCTCGTTATTATGCCCAACAACTTTACAAGCCCATTTGATTCGCCGCGATGAAATTACATCAATTATATTACCCGGATACAGCTCACGCAATTCGGCGTTGTGTAACCGTCTGAACTCTCCGGAGTTATAATTATTAAATATATAAATGTCTATATGTCTAGTTATAATTATTAAATATATAATTTTTAATGCTTGAATTTTCTAGCAATAGTACTTTCTTATATTCCATATACTAGTACTTATTTGTACAGCTTTTTGAGAATCTCTTTTCTCATCCTGAAACTAACACCCTCGTGTTTTTTTGCCAAGCAGCATAATTTAGACCACATTTCGATCTCAGTACTATTCTTCTGTGATACAGTATTAACTTATAGAACAGCAATTTCTTCTTATTTATTTCACTAAAAATAAGCATTCTCCTGTTTTTTAACATTTGATGTATCTTTAATTTCTATCGAAATATATATGATTTCATCTGTAGTTCCAGACTTTTTCATTACAACACTAGGGGAAGTGAATTTGAAAACACATAGGTTAATGATTATTGAAGGAATAGTGATCACGGACGCACCACTTGTGACAAGATTCGATTACACCCTAAGTAAGATCAGTACTAACTATTTCTTGAAAGAACGTCGTGATTGAGCCAGTGGTAAGAATGACAATGAAGGGCGCAGTGAAAAAGACAGAGCCTACCCCTTCAAGAGGTCTCCATCAAAGTACTTTATTAGTCGTGTTTTTTAAAGGGTATTATTTTCCATTCTGTCATGAAGTATGTTACATTTTTTTTTTCTTGCAGAACTGGGAGATTTCTTTGGGAAGGCGATTCAGAGCGCTAAAATTATGGTTCACCCTCAGGCTGTATGGTGTGAGTGGTCTACAAGATTATATTAGGAACCACATTTCACTAGCTAAATATTTTGAAACTCTCGTCAGAAAAGACACAAGATTTGAGATAGTTTCTCCAGCATCCATGGGCTTAGTATGCTTCAGAATGAAAGTAAGTTTTATAAACTATATGTGAGAATCTATATACATAGAACCAATCTTAACAATTATGCATGTATTGTTTGGTGCTATGCACAGTGATAAAAGGAAATGGAAAGTGATGCAAACGTATAAATTTTACATAATCAATGGGTGGGAAAAACATGCTAATTGATTGTTTTAAATGAAGTTATACATTTTATTGTTCTTATGAATTATAGTTTTCACTCTTTCTTTCCTTTATATGAAAATGTCTATCTATTCGAAGGTTGGTAAGTGAAAGTTGTGTGATGTGCACACCTTAACAGATTTTTTACATTAAATTATTATACATAATAATATAATTTAATTAAATTTAATACTAACTAAGTTTTATATTGACAATATATAAATAATACAATATACCAAATGTATAATAAATACCTTGTAAAAATCTTGTTTTCAAAACTATTTATAAACAAATACTTAAAAATAATAAATTATTCTAATACTATTTCTGCTTTGTTTAGGGTCCCAATATGCTGACATCGGACCTTCTGAAAATAATTCTAGAGAGCAGAAAAATATTTGTGAACCAAGGTAAATTTGGTGAAAAAAATTTCATACGATATGTAATATGCAGCAGAATAATGTGCAAGGATGATGTTGACCGAGGTTGGGAAATCATATCATCCCACGCAGACATTATACGGCCAAAACAATCCCTTGACTGTTCACCATTATTAATAGAATCAAGTACTAAATTTAACCAATGGAATCAAAAGAGAGAGGAAAAAATAATCCCACGATGATTGTTTAATATCTAACATTATGTAAAGCTTAGTAAAATAATTATGGAAGCAATATTTGGATTTCATTAATAGCATCAATAGAAGTCATTAACAAAATCAGCAAGGAATGCTAAATCTCACTATGATTTTAAGTTGGTTTAATATCTGAACAGCAGTTTTTGTAAAATAAAAAAAATAATAAACAGAGCACAAATTAATACACTTAAGTTTTTACTTGAAATTTTTACACCAACACTACTAAGTATTTCTTTTTATACACACAAAAAAAAAAAAAAAAATTAGGAAGTTGGTATATATAAAATAGTAAATTATTTCAACTCACTAAAGCCAAGTTAAGAAATTTACATCTCTATTAAAAACTGTTAATTCAAAATGATCTAGCTAGGAAGCGAATGAATGAAATATCCTTGCAAAATATAGTAGAAAAAGTGGATTGATAATCATCTGTTACACCTTAAGGTGATGAAAATTAAGATATAAACTTTTAGTTACTAATTTCATAATCCCTTACGAACAAGTGATCTGTAAATGTTCTTAGAACCTGTGTTTTGAGTTTTCTCATCTTTTTAAATTCTCTATCTTGCCCCATAAATATGGTTATTATAACTCAACTTACGATCACTTTTATGACATAAATTAAAAAATAACACAAAACAGTAAGCAACATTAGAAATTTTTTTTCATTGATTATAAGAATGGGCTTATTTAGAGAGGGGCAACATGGGACAGCTGGCCCCCCTTCCAACACGGTAAAAGTTTAAAATAAAATAGCAAAATGAATATTAATAACAATTTTCTGAATAATAAAAATTTTTAAAAACTATTTATAACTAAGTTTTAAAAAACACAGCAATAATTGTACTTAAGTTATAAAAAAACACAGAAATAATTGAACTTAAAAAGGACAACTAATTGACAATATAAAAATAAAAAATCTAAATGAATATGAAATTCATTAATAACAAATAAGAAAAAGTGAGGGCACCTTCCCCCCCACTCATGAGGACAGTTGGACAAGCAATTTCCTGTCCACTCAGTTTATGAAATAATTCTCCAATGAGGTATTATGAATAAATAATGCATACATTGTCATGCAATTTTTAATTTTCTTCCTCTTCGAAAAATATTAGTTCAAAACTAGCTAAAGCAAAATTGAAGTTAACTTTACAATTGTAAATTTAATTGAATGTGATTTCAGAAGTAATTATTTCATCAAAATATGAACACCTAGATAACATAATTGATCTATTAGATACACCAACACTTATATGAGCATTTCAGTTGACCAACTCCAATTTCAACATTTTTTAGTATAATCATTTTAGTGTTATTTCTAGTTGGAAAATTTATAATATCTGTACATACGTTGGGTAAGATAAGTTGATTTCAGAGGTGATTGCAGTGTTGAAATATGGAACTGAGTAAAGATATAAATTTTCCTACTAGAAATATCACTAAAATTAATAATACAAAATGTTGAAATTGTAGTTCGTCATTCGGTCAACTGAAAGACTCATATATACCTTAAAATATAACTGGAACCATCAAATAAAAAGTTAAGGGAAAAAAGTGTAACACATCAGTAATTACAGGATTAAATTAAAAATATTTATTATAAAAAGACATTGTTCATGGAACAAAATTACCTCAAGGACAAATAACTTTCTACACTGTTCTTAGAACTATTTCAAAGTAGACATCATTCTCTTTATCACCATTTATTTTTAACTAAAAAGATAACTTTTATAACAGTTAAAAATTAATGTACAAAAGGAATATAAGATCTAGACAATCTATTTCTTGATTTTGTTTACAATATTAAAAATGAATTTATTTTATGAATAACCATAATCTGTTCTTCAGAAGATCTATTACAAAAATGAAAGCATACAACATACAACTGAGTCCTTGAAAATCACTGACACGCACAATTAATCTTAAGTAAAATAAAATACACTGAAGTGGAAATACCTCAATATGGTATTGGTTATCGTCCATCAACTGAAACAAAAAAAAAAAAGGAAAATGTGAGACATAATAAAAATAAATTTCTTATGTCAAAAATACAATTTTTACAATAGTTAAAAATAAATGCAAAAAAAGAATACGATCCTCGCAATAAATTGGATAAATATGGTAAAATAACTAACAGGTATGGTAAATAATAAACTAATCTATGGAACAGAAATAAGGTCAGGTCAGATGGAAGGGATAAGAAATAAAATTAGGCAATTATCTATTGAGAAATACAACTACTGGCAAGTAAAGTAATTTAAAAGTATGAAACCCAAATGCTTCATTAAGGTCCGAAGGGACAGGCATAATTCAGTATTGAACCAGAAAATTAATAAATATAACAGTATCAATTTAGGTTTAGCAGTAATTGATGTAAGTTACAAGTACATTTATAAAAACAAGGGCATATATTTGAACCAGTAACTATGTTTGATGAAAAATATGACAGAACAAACTACTTGACAATTCTACAATATTATAAAATTGCTTCTATAGTGCCAACTAGATTCAGAGGAATATATATATATATATATGGCAGTCAATCAAAAATATAAACACTTTCTAATACAATTATTTATTAAAACATAATACATTCTCTGTGAGTCAAATCACTTATCAGGATAGGACCAAAAAGAACAATAAAATATGTTATTAAAATAAAACAAACTGCACTAGATATCATTTATGACATATTGGCTACATCTACGAAATTTATGAAGGTATTGTAACTTATTTTTAATGGATTTAGCCACTACAATTATAGCGACGACAGATTGGACATAACTCGATTTCTTATGATTTTTGTTTAAACAAATGATTGAATATAGCAACAGTTCCATCTAATAACTCCTAAATTCTTCGTATAAAGAGTAGTTTCCTTGCAAATCAATCAATTCATTCTTGCTCAGTGTACACAAGCAATAAACCCGTAAATTTAAAACTTGAAATAAAAGAAAATCACTGAAAGAAAGTGATTATATTAATTTTCCAAAATATTGAAAAGGAGTACAAAATTAAAGTTTTAGATGATATCATAATGATACAAAAAAAATGTAGTAATGTTTTGGTCACTACAACAGCAAATAGCTACAATTCAAAACAGAATCAACTGAAAAGAAGAGTAACAGAGAGGACATAGCTAAAACTCTAGATAATAAACCCATCCCCTCCCACTTTGCTTTTAAGTTTTTTAAAAGATATCAAAAAGTAAAGGTGCATATACTTTTTGAGAGCAACTGAAAACGACCCCCCCCCTCATTTTATGAACGTGATATTACTGGTGATAAACCTTAGATGTTTGAGTATGACCTGGAAACCAGGCACCAGAGCATGGTGTGGTACAATTCAACCTCTCCAAGAACAAAAAAGGAAGAATGAGCAAGTCTAAAATCAAATATAAGCTGATTTGCATTTTTGAAAGCCAAGGAATCATTGACAAAGAGTTGGTGCCTCAAAGCTAAATGGTTAATCAACATTTTTACTGAGAAATTCTTGAGATAATTCGAAAAAGGGTCATAAATGTGAGACCAATCATCAAAAACATGTGGGTGTTGCATCACGACAAAGCTCCTTGTCACACCGCGATTTTGATCTATGAATTTTTGGCCAGTAAAAATATTTCTATGACTCCTCAGCTTCCTCATTCACCCGACTTGAGTTCGTGACTTTTTTCTGTTTCCAAGATTGAAAAGTCACCTGAGGAATGACATTCAGAGAAATTGGAGAATAACGGAGAGAACAGCCGTAAGTGACCAACTGAAGGCTATTCCAGTATACGAGTTTTAGCGCTGCTATGAGTAATGGAAGAAACATTTGCAGCAGTGTGTGGCTTCCTAAGGTAGTTTGTTACTTTGAAGGAGACAATGTGAATTTATAATTTTATTTCAATAAAAATAAGTCTTATTACTTAATTTACAACTCCTATTTAGACAAAAAAGAATTATACTTCAATTTTATATAATACTAGGCAACTTACAGCGGTTATATACTTAAGAGCAGAGCCAAGGTTTTTAAGCAGTAAAAATCAACAAAATAAGTCACATAATATGCAATAAAAACGATAAAAAAATAAATTAAAATTTCAACGTATTGAACATAAGTTCAACGTATTGAACATAAGTAAGTGATACGACCTGACTGATAAATTTCTATATTTTTTTTAAATCTAATTTTCTATAGTTAAAAATATTTTTATAATAAGAAAATGATCATTCTACAACAGAAGTGATAGAAGCAAATTTGTATCATTATAAAATTATATATTTGTTTTTAATAGAAACTTATTTTGAACAATATATGTAAAATAAACCTTTCAATGAGTTTTAAAAACAGCTTCATCTTTGGAATCTTAAGATCAATCCAATATTACCGTTTTAAAGAAAGTGATGCACTTAAATTTGTAAAAAATATAAGAGCTTGAAAAAGTAATCCATTGAAACTGAGTCTGATGTTTAAGAGCTAACAGAAATGAGAAGGGAAGATAAAAAAAAGTCATATTATAAGAAGTCAATAACTAACTGAACGTAGCGTATTGTACTAATTGATAATCAACCAACAATTGTATTATGGAACTCCATCTTCAATATTCCATTTTACTTCATTTCCAATGATTATTATTAATTTTTATTTGAAATAATCAAAATATGCCATTATTTGCATTTATCATCCAATATACAATATTAAAGTTGATTAATTGCATCTGGATATACTGATTCGTACATTTGAACAGCAGTTTAAAAACTACATGCAAGCAAAATATACAATTGCATGAAATTCGGGCCTTTCTTATCTGTTATTTCCACAGCAGCTAAAAGGAAAACAAGAGGAAGAAACAAAAACAAAATGAAAATTTTAAATGAAGATCTACAGGAATTCACAAGTTTCTTTATGAGTTTCTATTGTTTAACTGCTGATATGAAATAAAAAGTATACATAAGATTTTTTTTTTTTTTGCATTAAATAAAACAATAGTCAATTTTCATTAAATTTTGCATTTCTCAACACAGCAGATAGCAGCCATTACTATTTTTGACAGCCTAAGATAGGTTATAGTGGATGATTATAATCAATAAGCTTTTATAATGATGATCAGCTATAACAACGGAATTTACTTGATCTCTTCAACGTTGCTATAAACAATATTCAGTATACTCGGAACATATACTGAAAGAGACCATAAATAAGTTATACATTCTGAATCAAAATAAAAATAATATACAATACTTACTATAAGATGAAAGGTCAATCTCATCAGGTAACTCAGTAATATTAACATCAAATCTATCTTGAACATTATTTAGAACTTTAGCATCTGCCTCATCACTAGCAAATGTGATTGCCAGACCCTAAAAACAACAAATTAAATTTTTAATGAAAATAGAAAAAAGAAAAAAAAAATTACAGCAGAACTTTACCACTATTCAAAAACAGATTACACTTATCACTAATTTAATACTAATACATTGAACATTGAGTAAGCTAAAAGTGGATTAGGAGGATAATATACAATACAAGAATATTACATTATCATTTACTTGCTACGAAAATCATACATAAAATGTTAAATATGATAGTACAATATAAAAATATTGCATTGTCGTTTACTTTCCACGACAAATACACATAAAATGTTGAATATGATGCATTAATCATATTTAATCTGCCATGAGTGATTTTTCTGTGCACTTTTTTTGAATTTGCAAATTGAGTGCAAATTTTTTTTTTTTTTTTTTTCTCAGAAGTTACTAAATGAAACAAAAACTATGCCCTTGGCTTAAATTATTCTTTTTTGAAGCCATAAAATTATATAGAATTTCAGACCAAAATGAGCTCATTACTTTTTATGATTTAACTCTTCAAACAAAAATTACAATTTTCTCTAAAAACTGAAAAATTATTATTACTGTCTTTTATTTTGTAAAATATCTTTAAAAATATTCATTCGACAAAACCATTTGAATGAATTTGAAGTAAATTTAATTAACTCTCACTCCAGCTTAAAAGAGAATACAAAGTTTCAATGGTTCTCATAAAAATTACAGATAATCAAAAGGATGAAAAAGTGGATTTTGAATAGGAAAAAAAAAATTGTTTATTCTAATATTTTTTAAAAAAATAAAAATTAGTCCTGTCAATGAATGATTATAGAACGAAATGAATGGGACACAATTTTTGACTTAGGAACTTTGTTCCTAGGAAGGAAGTGAGCAAATTTGCAACAATATTGATTAATTAATTTATATGCTACTACCTTGTATAGTTTCTGAGATATCTGGGATCTATTATTGCTGATTTTGAAAATAAAAATTTTTGCCTTATGTTTAACTATCAAATTCTTTCCCCATTCATTCTACGAAAAGATCATGAGGAAGAAAGTTGTTAAGCATTAAATTTTTGTACGGAATATATGTAACACATTTTATTACTTGAGCACGGATATTGCGGAAAATATATAAGTTAGAATAAAAATAAATATCATCAATATTGTTGCAAATTTTATCAGCTTTAATTTTGTATTGAACGCCATTATCGCTACGATTGATAGTGTTTCCTGATATAAATGTCTAACTGTAAAAATTGATCTGTTTGCCCCATATCGGACAAATTGAATGAGCCGTTTTCAAACTATAGGCATATCAAATAATACGTTTACTGATCCGAAAGCCAAAGTCTGTTTTTGAGAATAGTGGATAGAATTTGATACTTATCCAATTACCTGTTAACCAATCCCTATCTTCCCTAAAGTTTAGCCAAATCGAACTAGCGGTTTCAGAGATACAATCAAGATAAATTTATCAAGAAAAACATGTTAGCACATATGTAAGAGAAATTAGATGACGGAAATTGATAAGGAATCATTATTTTACCAAAATCCATATTTTTATCAACTTTGAGCCAAATCGAACGAGCTGTTTCTAAATATTCACTTATCTATGAAAACACATTTATGCGTTCGCAAGCGAAAGTGCTGGACAGAATTTGATAAAATTGATATGGGACCATTGAAGCATCAATCCGCACAATCTCTGAAAATTTCATTAAAATCAGATGAATATAATATTGGTGATATGACTGTTACATCGATTTGACTATAGACAGACAGACTGACAAGACACAGAACCAAAGATGATCCTTGATGTCTAGAAACGTAAAACACGAGTGGAAATTTTCGATTCTGAACACTAATTTTTTTTTAATCTCTAGCACGAATACAATGCTTCCCTACCTTCGGAAACAAAAATTAGAACTACATGGCATTCTGTATTTATGAAAGGAAAAAATAAGTAACATTGTCCCACCCAATACTCCTCAAGTGCTAGTGCAAATGCACCTGCATCTTATACAATGTTTGATAGGGGAATGTAAATAAGTAGGGAGGATTAAATGCAGGATCAAATCAGACACACAGAAGTGGAAAATAATGACAGAGTAGGAAGAAGATGCTTGAAGAAACTTGGACCAACAGGTATCATGTATGAGGAATGTCCAGAATGAAATTTGTGGGAAAATTTACCTTAGTTCCAAAACGTCCTGCTCTCGCTACTCTATGAAGGTAAGTGTCTGAATCTTCAGGCATATCATAGTTAAATACAATATTAACTCTTTCAATATCCATTCCTCTTCCAAACAAATTGGTAGCAACAAGTATTCTCTGCAGACAAAGTCATACAAATATAAATAAAATAAAATGATATGAAAATAATTATTATAAAAAACCATCAATAATTGCTAAGAATACACTTTATTATAAAATATAGTATAACTAAATATTCATACACTTAAATACAAAATATTTCATTTAACTTTAAGAACATTGAATCTGAGATACAAAATTATTCTCTAAATAACTCTAATTATAAATAACTCTAACAGTTATAACAAGTTAATGATAGAATCAGAATATTATTTAGGATTTTCATTTTTACTGAAACACTAAAAACATTTCAACAATTTCCCATGTATATTAAATTTTGGCAAACCTTGATGTTTTGCCTTAAGAAATTTAATACTTCATTAAACCGTTTGTATACTAAATGTACAAAATATATTAAAACCTTTTGGAAGTCTTTGAATTCTTGGTACTTAGCAAGTCTCTCTTCTTGACTCATAGCTCTATGAATAGCTACAGCTGGGAAATTCTGGTCACATAACAGTTGAGCCAAAGCCATACATCTCTGAACTGATTTTACAAATATTACAACCTAAAAAATGAGATTACATTTGTTAAAACAATTTACAAAAAAATAAAAATAATAATATAAAAAACATAAGCGTATATTGTATCTATGATTATTAATAACATACGTAACGTAATACCAACAATAGTTATTTCAAATTTTAATAATGAATGACAAATATATAGAGGTGTTTAAAACATAAAACATCTATTATTTGGAAAAAGTCTATATAATAAATTGGAAGAATATTTGTACAAAAAGGTGAATATATTTTCCTTAGTGGCGCCTTAGTGCTAGAAAAGATTTTTAAGGCTATATTATATCGACTTGTGTGACCTTCACCAAGTGATTATAATGTGATAGAACTGTAACTGTAAAAAGAAGCCAGGGGATGACTGAAAGAGGGATGGGAAGAATTTTTTTTTACAGGATGTTTCAGGATTAAGTGGCCAAACTTAAAAAATGAACTATGGACTTCAAAACAAGAAAAAAATGTTCTCTGTAGGTATGTCCGCTAACGCTTTGTTTGGGAGATATTCATACCTAAAGATTTTCATCTTTATGAATTATTAACGTTATATCGAGTAAATTAAACTTATTTATTTGTTCCAACTACTTTATTAATTAAACATAAACATTAAATTGATATTAAATGTTATTCAAGATAAGTGACTTCCTTGAGCATTATGACATGCTCTCCATCTTTCTTCAACAGCAGCAGTGGCAGAATGGCACTGGATAGGTGTTATTGTTTCACAAGATTCGATTACCCTTCTTCGTAAGGAATTAAGGTCATTGACCGGACTTGCATAGACTTTTTATATGACGGGCAGCACTAGCATTACCATTGCAAAAACCGTATACAAACACCATATCGGCATATTCACCATTAGTATAAATGGAAGACATAATAATGAGTACTCTGCGAAAGCCTGTTACAAACTGATAAATGTTAGTGACAGTTCCCAATGCTAATTCCAAATGGTATTAATCCTTAGCCAATAGTTTTTATACAGTTAGAGATAAAAGGCTAATAAGTTCAATTTGAACAACATTTAATATGAATGTTAATGTTTACATTTAATTAATAAAGTAGTTAGAACAAATAAATAGGTTTTATTTAGTTCATATAATGTAAATAATTCATAACAACGAAAATCTTTAGATGTGAATATCTCCTAAACAAAGCATTTGCTGACGGACATGATTTCAGAAGAAATTTTTTTCTTGTTTTGAGGTCCTTTGTTCATTTTTTCAGTTTGGCCACTTAACCCTGAAAGACCCTATGTAAAAAAATGACAGTTTTTCAACCAAATTTGATATAAAAGACAATTAATATATATTTAAGGTTATTATACATATCTATGAAATATTTTTATATTACACTTCTTCTTTCACACAAGTACAATTAAATAGTATTTTAAACAATGGAATTGGCATAATTCGGTGGATCTTAATTACTTTTCTTTTCAAACTTCGAAACAAATTTAAAAGTTAAAATTTAGTACGAAAATTTCATTGGAAACCTGTGATTTACGGTAAATAATGTTAGTTTTCTGAAATTATTATTTATATTTTTTTCGTCACTCTCCGTTACCTTCTACATGTTTATTTATTTGTTATTATTTTTTCTAAAATTCTCCGCTTTCCAACGATATATTAAACATATTGACTGTTATTTTCAGAAATTCATTTTCAACCTGGATAAGAATTTTTCTTTTTTTCTCCAGTTTCCAATTATCACGTTCTTTCAAACTTCATATTAAGTCATTTTTTAAAAGTTACTATCAATAAAAGAGAGTTAATTTTTTTAAATAATCCATATTAAAATTATTTTAGAGACATTTATGAACTTTGGGCACTTAAGCCCTGTAAAGTGACATCAATGGGGATAAGATCTAAATGATATTAAAGACCACTTAATTATACAATGTTACACTGAGTTTAATCAAAATCATTAGGGTCGTTTTTGAGAAAATTTTAAAAATGTTTTTCACCGTTGATATGAAGTGGCACTTCCGGTTAACCGACCTTAACGAAAAAGTTGCTGTCACATCTGAGGCATATAAAAACCTTAACCTTAAATATACAATTTCACTTTCTTACGACTTTTCATTTTTAAGCTAGACTGCTAACACAAACACACACAGACCATTTTGCGGGATTTGGTAATTTGGACTCAGTAGACCTCAAAATATGTATTTATGTTGAAAACTCAGATTAGAAAATTTTCATGATTGCAATACTTACTCAATGATACTCAATACTATATATTTCATGTATAGGTAAGTGAAAGTAAAAGTAGTCAAAGGTGATTCTGATATAGCTTGAGGACCTCAATTTAGGTCCAATAACAAAGACCACAACCATCAAAACAAACTATGATAATACAGTGAAATGTATTCTTCTGGCAGCAGTTTATAAATTCTAATCGTTAGCAATAGGATATTCCCACACAAGAACATCTACAATTACACCTGGACAAATCCCAAGAGTACGAAAAACATAATTGATCATGTGGCAGAAAAAATGACATTCTAATATTTAAAAAAAAATATCGTGATATTCTTCTCTACCAAATACCAAAATTTGTGAGATAGGAGTAAAAGAAGTCAAAAGAAGAGATACTAGGCATTTGGAAAGAACATTACAGTAGCTTCTTAATCTTAGGGAGAACTCACAAATGTAGAAGACATAGTTTACAAGAGATTGACAAAATACAATAGATCTGCTCATCATAAAATAACAATAACACCTACCTGATTAAACTCTAAGATGTCAAGTAAATCAAATAATTTCTTGTTTTTTTCATTTTCTTTTAGCTTAACATAGTGTTGCTGAAGCCCGTGTAGGGTTAGCTTTGCTTCATCATCAACATACACTTCCATCGGCTAAAATAAAAACAAACATAAGATATTGGAGTAAATATTAAGAATATAGATAAGATGACATGAAATATAGCTAATGGTATACCAAGTAATGAATGTAAATGTAAACATTTATTTAATTACCTCCTGTATAAAATAAAATTAATTTTATATATTTTATAGAATCAGTTGTAGGGTACTGAGCTTCTAATGTTAAAGCTCCCAGGTTTAAATCCCGACTCATGGCAGAAAAATTATTTGTTCTGTTTCATCGGCCATGGGGCGACTCTGGGTAAATAGACCGGTACTTGTGAAGAATCTGGTCGGGACGAAACCTTCCTTCTTATCTTATCTTACGTCACATAACTTCTCTTCTTATCTCATGTAAGCTGTTGTTATCTTTCTGTTATGTGTGAGTTAGTCCATTGTTTATTGTTAAAATGGATATTATTACATTGTGGGAATTGCCATCTTCAGAAGAAGAAGAAGCTATCAAATATTTTTAATAGGACCGTGATAATTCCAAAGGTGAAATTCTGTGAAGGTCATGAAATGAATTCTGACAGGAAGACGAAATGACGATGTTTTTGTAGCAGTTGTAACAAAAACGTATCTGCAAGAAAAGCAACGCGCTTAGAGGGGTCGAAGATTACTTTTTCAACGGCTTTAAAAGTACATTGTGAGAGATCTCATAATTTAACAACAATACAGAGGGGCAAAGAGCAGTTGAAACTATCGAACAAAAGCGTGATAATGTGGAACAAATTTTTAAGAGAGGTTTGTGCCCATAACATATTATACAGGTCAACTGAAAAAAATTAGAGGGCCTGGCAAAGTCGTTAAAGTAGACGAGAATCTTTTTTCTAAAAGAAAAAATCATCTAGGGTGACTTATCTCTAAAGAATAGGTGTTTGGCAGAGTTTGTCAAGAAACAGACGAATGTTTCGTTAAAAGTAATATCAGTGTAATAAAGTAAGGAGGGAAGCACCACTGAACAAAGCAAACTATAATCATTTCCAGGTGAATCACCGGTATAAGTTTGTTGATTTGATATTACTACATTTGTTTTTATGTTTATCAATTTCCAGAAATATGACATTTGTTTTTGTCTATTTCAATTTCCATAAATATGAATATGAAGATAAAGATCAGTGCCTTTTCAGAATTATCAGTATTCAGGTTATAAACATTGGCAGATAGTCATCCATCGCGACCGAATTCTTCACAAGTACCGGTAGATTCTCCTGGGGCACACCCAGCCTCTATAAAGTGGGTACCCTCAATTAAAATAATTAATTATGGGAGAAAACCTGACGGTTGAGCTTCATCTAGTTTAAAGCACCTCTCTGCACAACCGTAGACCAAAAGAAACAATGCTTTCCCTAAATAGTACTGAATCCAAGACTCTTCAAAGGTTGTAATGGTACAGGTTTATTTTTTTTTTTTTTTTCCGCCGATAAACATTAAATGTATTTTAATCTTTAATGTTTATAACAAATGATTTTGAGGAGTGGATGGAGACTTATAAAATGTAACAGTTTTTATTGAGTACTAAATGTTTTATTGTTGTATAATATTCAGGAAGGAGATGGAACAGGGTGATAGTCATAAAAAAAACTTAAAATAGTGGTTAAAATAAAAAGACTAGACTAAAAATATGGCTTTAAATAAAATACGTTTTTCACTATTTCAAGTTTTTTCATGACCACCATCCCAGCCCATCTCCTTCCTGAAAAACAGTTTTAAAAACATTTATTTTATGTTGATATATTTTTCTTTCAAAGGCTAATACAATGAAGGAATAATATTCATTAAAAGAAAGATTACAAACCACTGAGGACAACCGGCAGGCTGGAGATACACGTGAATTCTACGCAGACATTAGGAAAGAAAGGGTAGGATATAAAGCAAGAAATAAGCAAATGTGGGGAAAAGATGGCATTCTGATGGCAACTAAAGAAAGTATATTGAACATCTGGAAGGAACATTTCCAGGAACTTCTCAATCAAGGAGACTCCATGAACGAACAAGATATGGACCACATTGAGGACCTTGGTCCAGAAGCGGTTGAAAAACCAGATATGCTGGATGTAGAAATAGCTATCGAAAGGCTTAAAACAAGAAAGGCTCCAGGGATAATATAATAGACAACCACCAAACTAGATTCAGAAAAGGCTGGAGCATACTTGACCAGATCTTCATCCTAAAACAAGTACGCAGACATAGACAGACAAGTACTCAAAAAACGATGGGAAGTAGCTCAGGATATCCAGGCTCTATTTGTCGATTTCAAAGCAACCTATGATTCTGTGGACAGGAGCTGTCTTTGGAAAATCAGGACTGAACTAGGAATGAATTCCTGGTAAGTTGGTGAGATTGACAAAGGCATCTAATGTACAAATGGCTCCAAATGTAGAGTAATAATAAAAGGAGAAAAATTTGAAGCCTTTAAAGTTTTAACGGGCTTATAGCAGGGAGATGGACTATCACCGATGTTGTTCAACTTAGCCCTGGAGAAGGTAATAAGAGCAACATCACAGGAAAATGGAGAGGTCCACGTTGGAATGAATCATAAAAGCCTTGGATACGCAGATGATATAGCTGAGCTGTCCTTGGAATTAATCAAGAAGAGATTGAGAAACTCGCTACAACACGAATAAGAGAGGAAGAGCAGATCGACCTACAATTAAATGAAGACAAAACAAAATATATAATAAGCCACAATAACAGGATCAGCGTTGAAGGAAAATCATTCCCGAGAGTAGAAAAATTCAAAACTCGGCTCCACAATAACCTCAATGAATTACTAACGAGCAAAAATAGACCAGAGTATAACTAGCGCAAACAGAGCTTTCTTATCCCTCTCAAAGGTATTGAAATCCCAAGAAATCTCAAACTAAGGGTGTACAATGCTATGATAAAGCCAGTTCTAAGTGTTGAAGAGAGGAAAATCCTCTGCACGATAACCGGAGTGATCTGGAATCAGAGTACTAACGAAAGATCCTTACTATGAAAGTAGAATTTCGAAGGAACTCACTAGGTTAGACATTTATATTTAAAAAATTACTAAAAAAAAAAAAAAAAAAAAAAAAAAAAGAAAACAGTATAACTGTTGCCCAGGTGATTGTAATAGATGATAAATTGAAAAAGTTTATGTTAGACATAGGCACAAATTTTGCTCGGGGGCACGGGTGATGTCACAGTGGTACCCACAAGCTCTAGGATGAGAACATCTGTTCTAAGAAGTTTATTGAGAAGTTGCTATTTAACAATGAGGTGAACAAACAATACAATGATTAGAAGTTCGACCGCATGAGACCTATGACAGATCTGAACACGCAGTTAATTAAAAAATAATAACCAAGATAGTACGAGAGAAACAAAAGATTAAAATACGAATAAAGTACAGAAAACAAAATGAAAATAAATATTATATTTAAATTATCATTAAATGTAATATCTTATCATGAAGGAAAAAAGAAACTTAATACTCACATCTTGCATAAATTTCTTACAAACTGGCCTTATATCTTTACTTAGTGTGGCACTAAACATCATAACTTGTTTACTATGAGGGGTATTCCTAAAAATTTCTTGAACATCACGCCTCATGTCTGTAAATCAATTTTATTGATTAGTCAAAAAAGCAATAACTAATTAAATGTACCAGTATTAATACACTTGTGGCAAAAATTTATAGAATAATTAAATGACTAGTTGTCATTAAAAAAAAATCTACCAAGTAAGGTCAGTATAGCTCCATTGGCTAAAATATATATCAGTATTACAAGGTATACAATTTTTCGTATGAAAATAAAATCTCTGGGAGCGCAGGTATTGATGACCTTGATGTTTTACGCCTAAATAAACCCCAAAAAACAAGAACAATCTCTGGGAGAAGCCGATTCGGAAATACAGTTACCCTTCAACATTCGTGGGTTTGATATCAACAAATTTCATTTATCAGCTAATATTAAAATGCGAAAGAGTGCCGTATTTGAAGGTTCCATATTGATTATTCTTAATTTTAAAAAAATACCAATACATACTGAAAACATGCATTTCACTACTGATAGTGCAAAAGGTTGTATGTAAAAACTCATTATTTCTTTATGCTTCATTGGTAAAATTAACATATTTTATTGTTATCTGCTATTTTCCATAGCAGCAGACTACTTATATCAGTTGCAGACTGTAAAATGTCACAATTAAAGTCAAAAAGCACAATAAGTAGAATAAAAGTTGAAAATTTTTACATACGACCTTTTGCACTAATAGTAGTGATATAAACTTAGTAGGTATGTTTTCACTCGTAAAATGGATGTAACTAGAAAATCCACAGGAAAATTTCAACTTGTTTGTTCGGAGCCGATGAGACCAAAACTTTTCATCAGTCAGAACAAAACTAATTAAGTTTGAATATAAAAATATGGGTGAACTTCACACAAATTCGATATTTAAGGAGGAAATCGAGACCAAGACGAACTGGTTGAATTTCAATGGAAATAAACACAATCACAAATAATACATTGTTTTTGTTTACAAATTCAGAGTAAAAATGACTTTAAATTTACTGAAAATTAAACGAAATCTAGGTAACGGGAGTAAGTGTCATGCCAGTTACGTTTGGAATCGACCAAACAAGATAGTATCAATTAATTTTTTGAATAAAACCTAAAATTTTATAACCCCATAACAATATTGTAATAACCTAACTCCCAACTCCACATGATCAGTGACTTCAACATTTTACAACCATTATATTGTCGATAATTATATATATTAATTTTAATTAAATGGAATTCAATGAAATTGATACTAAGTAATTTCTATACCGTTCTCCAAATTTCCTCCAAGTTTGTATCAAATCCAATGCGCTGTTTTCAAACTATAGGCAAACCAAATAACACATTTCCTGATTTAAAAACGGAAGTTTTTTTTTTTTAGTAGTGGATAGAATTTAATGAAATTGATACCTATTTCATTTTACGTTTACCAATCCCTAAATTCCTTCCCAATTTGCGCCAAATCAAACTTACGGTTTTAGAGATATAGACGTATCAAGGAAAATAGGTATTCGCATATATAAGAGAAACCAATGCAATGGACAGAATTCAATAAAATTGACCTTACATTATTTTTTCACAAATACCTAAGTTTTATCCAACTTTGAGCCAAATCGAACAAGCAGTTTCTGAAATATTGGCATATCTACAAAATTGCGTTTGCGTGAGCGTAAGCGGAAGTGTTGGTTATAATTCAATAAAATTGATATGGGACCATCTAGACTAGACACCAACCCGCACAATTCCTGAAAATCGGATTAATGGTAGCAGGTGATATGCCAGTTACATCGATTTGACTACAGACAGACAAACATCGAACAAAATTTGATCGTTGATGTCTGAAACGTAAAACACAAGTGAAAATTTTCGATTCTGAGCACAACATTTTTTTTAACCTCTCGCACTAATAGAATGCTTCCCTACCTTCAAAACTCATTTTGTCCCATATCAATCTACGGACTTAGCACCATTCCAGTATTGAAGCCAAGCAAAATGTTTGTATCAAGTTTATTTATTTTAGAAAGAAAAACAAAAGTGGAAAATACGATTCGCTAACCCCCTGTGATATTCTGAATCCAACGGTACGCCATTAATGGGATTTTATCATGACAGGAGCTTATATTTGGAACAAAACAGATATCGAGCCTTACTATAATAACATATGTGGGGATGGGGATAAAAAGTCATTACCTCAAATTGGTATTGATGGTTTATTATGGCCTATTGTATATATATATATATATATATATATATATATTTTTTTTTTTTTTAAGTAGCAACATTTACAAGAAATGCGATACTGCTTCCTCACTACCGAAGGTAGGTGTTGGAAACAGTAGGAATAATCTAGGAGACTGCAGCGAGATGCTACATTAATCACATATGTTCTATTTAAAACAAGATATAATTGAACAAATGTGATTAATGTAGCCTCTCGCTGCAGCCTCTTAGATTCTTCCTGTTTCCAACAGTAGGGAAGGCATTGTATATTATATAATTTTAGTGAATTAAATCATCTACTTTCTCTAATATACATGCTAACGTGTTTTCCTTAATACGTCTATATATCTAAAACCGCTAGTTTGATTTTACCCAAATTCAGAGGGAAGTTAGGGATTATTTAAAAGATAATAAGTATCAATTTTATCAAATTCTATTCACTACTCGCAAAAAAAAGACTTCCGCTTTCGGATCAATAAACGTATTATTTGACACACCTATAGTTTGTAATGGCTAGTTTAATCTGACCCAAACTTGGAGGAAATGAGGAGAATAGTTCAGAAATTGTTTAGAACCAATTTCACTTAATAACTAAAATTAATATAAATAACAATATAATGGCTATAAAATGTGGAAGGCATTGATATTGATCACATGGAATATGGGTTAGGTCAATACAATATTTTAGGTTTTAATCAAAAAATTAATTTATAATGTATTGTTTAGTCAATTCCAAACGTTACTGCCATGACACTTACTCTCTTTGCTTGGATTTCATGTAATTTTCAGTAAATTTTAATTAACTCTTACTTTTTTTGGTTAGTAAAAAGTCTTAATTGTGATTTTGTTTGTTTCTATTGAAGTTCAACCAGCTCGTCGTGGTCTCGATTTCCTCTTTAATCATCAAAGTTGTGTGAACTTCAATCATATTATTATATTCCAGCTGAAATTAGTTTAGTCCTGACTGATGGAAAATATTGGTCTCGTTAACTCAGAACAAACAAAAAGTTTAATTTTTCTATCCAATGGATTTTTTGTTATATCCATTTCACTAGTGAAAACATACCTATACCTATTAAGTATATATCGCTACTATTAGGGCAAAAGTTTCTACATAACAATTTTCTATTTTCCATTCGATTGTGCTAAAAGTGACTTTTCGTAACATGCAACTGATATAGGCTGCCTGGTACTGTGGAAAATAGCAGAGGAAAATAAAATATGGAATTATACTAATAAATCATAAAGAGATAATGAGTTTTTATGATCTCATGTAAAATACTCGATTTTTACATATGAACCTTTTGAACTTTGAGATTTTTATTTTTTAATCACGATTCATCAAATAAGCAATTTGCAAATGTGGAACTCTTCTGGATTTTAGTATTCGCTGATGAACAAAATTGGTGGATATGAAACGCATGAATATTAAGGAGTTACTGTATTTCCGAAAACGGCTTCTCCCATAGATTTTATTCTTATACTAAAAATTATAGACTTTGAAATATAGATATTATTTATCTAATGAAAACAATGAGGAAGTTATACTGGCCTTACTTGGCAGACTTTCTTTGTTTTAGAATTAACCATAATCAACCAAATAAAAATCCTCATGCAACGAGACGTAGAGTACAACACATCAATTTTAAGCATTACCATATTACTATTAACATTTCTGAAAAAAAAAAAAAAAAAAAAAAAACCCTTCAAGTTGTCAGAATTATTTGAAAATATAAATATCAGGATTAGGAACATTTAGTTGGTCACTTAATCCATTGAGAATTCAATCCCATAGTAAATATCTACATAAAAAACTGGCTAGATATCACTTTAGATTAGAAGTCTTTAAACTACGGCCCATTTTATTTTGTTTGTAGTGAAAATGTCTTATATTATATTTAACTTTTTTAATACTATATATTTCTTTTTTTTATATCTTATAACGTATGACAATAGAATTATATTAACTATAATTATTAATCTGGTCATACGATACATCCTAGGTCATAGAAGAAAAAAAAAATAAAGCTTAGTGATAATTTATTTTATTCAGGTACTTCAGGGTGAAAGAATATAAAAGAAAATAATTTTTTATACAACTAGAAGTGAATCTAAACTTATTGTATACCAAACTTTAATTTAATTAATGTGAACTTAAATCTTATTAAACAAGGTAGTTTTATTAAACGTGGTATAGCTGTAGGCCAGTTGGAGAGTGAAAAATAAAGCTTAACATAGTTAAGTTAATTAAATTGGCAGGTGCAGATTAATAAATAAAAGTGCTAACAAAAAAAGGTAATTAATGAAACCGATTAAAAGGATTGTTACTTATATTTTGCCTCTTAAGTTTGTTGTAACGAAGTATTTTTTATTTAGGAGTCCAAAAGTAGATTGAAGTTCTTAATAACAGAATTCTTTCATTGAAACAAAGAAGCTTTGAGAAAAACCAAATCATGTTTCAAGTTTAATTAATTTTGATTCAATTTACCAATTTGCCTTTTCAAGTTCATAATAACAAGAGTTTACTGCCCTACTAACCACGAAAGACTGTTAATGATTTAAAATAAACCATATTAAAATTATTTTTGAGGGTAATTTTGAAAAATCAGCTGTTAACCTTATCAGAGGATTTTGATAAAGGTAAAGCACGCTATGTGTAACAGAAATACATTTGTTAAAACAAAGTTAATTCTGTTAAAAGTAAAAAAAAAAAAAAAAATTGTTTAAGAGAGAATGGCCAAAAATGCATTTGTTTAACCCTGTGAAAATCTGAAATGTAATAGGTTGAAAACTGGGCATAAAAAATTTGATCCTGATTACTATATTTTCCTTAACTATTAGCTGTAGCAATGTAAATTTTGACTTTATAACTAAAATAATATATCAATTCAATTTTCTAAATAAAATGTAATAGAACATTATATAGGTGATTAATAGGTATGACTTACCTAACTGCTCAAGCATCTTGTCACATTCATCTAGCACAAAATGTTTCAGGTTTTTCAAATTTAGTTTTTTATTCTTCACTAAAGCTAAAATACGTCCTGGTGTACCAACTACAATATGAGGACAATTATTTTTTAAGACTTCTTCATCCTTCTGGATAGGTAAACCACCAAAAAATACAGCAACCTTTAAAAATGATACAAAGAAATTTATTACAAAAAAAGTTATTGAAACATTAAAAAATTACAAACCATCTAAAGATTTTAATATTACACTAGCACTCAAACACAAGTAAACTAATTACATAATATAATCTAAAAATGAAGAATACATTTATAAACAGTTTACACATTACCAAATAAAATACTTAAATGAAGTCAAATTAAGTGCATTACGATTTATTCCAAAGTTTCCATTTTTTAACTTTACTGTTGCTTAAATTTTTTTTACTGGATGATAAAAAGGAGGAAGGTATTACATAAAACTGTTATCTATAATGTTATAGTAATCAATAATATGCGTTTCTACCTGGAAATGTAATTATAGTCGAGTGATTATTTATTACAATGGATCGAAAGGCAAGAGAGAGATAAGGAGATAATAATTGATGAAAAAAATGTTAAACTAGAAACTAATAAATAAGCTAGCAAATTAAAAGTTGGGTATAATAATAAAAAAACTAATATTTCTTAAACAAGAAAAATCACTTAAAATAATATTAGAACAGGTAGGCAAAAATAATAAATCACTGTAAAATAAAGTGAAAATATCATTAACCTATAAAACTATAAAATAAAAATATCAAATTAACTGATCATTCAATGTCCAAAAACCAATTCAGGATCTATATACATCCTGAGACACAATCTTTGAAAACCAAAATATTTATCCACAAATCAGTAGATATTTATATTTAGTATATATACATATAAGCTTAAATTATTAATTGCATAAGCAAGTGCTTTTACCACCTTCATAAAAAACATACACTAAGAAAAAAGTTTATTCCAGATTTTCCAGTTATCACTTTCATGCATTTTAGAAAAAAGGACATTACTATCATTTGAGTACTAATTCACAAGTGCTCCATCTGGAAGACATGTGGACCAAGATCGCTTTGTTATTGTACTTAAAAAGCAAGTTAACCATGCAGAGCAGCGAGCCTTTAGTTAAAATTACAAAAATTAATTCAATATTCAATCATTGGCACGCAATATAACCTTGATATTAAGATTAATTTATATTAAATGGGAGAAAAAAGTGAATGTCAGCAAAAACTATGCCTCTTTGGTTCATTAGAATTCTGATTTCTTAAACAAACTCAGCTAATTTCGACATACCAAGAACAAGTTTGATGGTGGTGATCTTGGCCCACAAGCCATTCAGTTGGAAAACTAGTACTGTCTTTGGCAAAAGAACATTATTGTTAATACTCTAAGCTACTTTCAGCATTCCATTTACAGTGGGCTTAACCGGCCACCACTATTTTAGAATGAAAGATTAAGAACAATTGATGTTATGAATATGTAGAGATATAATTACATATTAGATAAATATTTTCTAAATAACAATCACATTATTCTATTCCAAATATGTGGTACTACTTTACAAATGCTGTTCCATGACAAATAAGCCAGGTTGTCATAATCATGGCAAAAATGGGATTTGAAGAATGACAAGAGTTAACATGTTCACGGCATAAGCTCACTTCATTTAGATCGAGATTGATAACTTCTACTAAGCTGGTCCTTATCAATTAATATAGGAACCTTAATTAGCTTAAATTATATCACTGCTTTCAGTGTCCACTTATTAAAAAGAGATGATCAAACCCCAACAAGTTCTTTTCAGTTGAGATCGGGGCTCAACCAGATCACCTTTGTCTACTTTCAGATATACTCTGCCATTCTCAGGATTACATTTATTGTGTGATCATAAGATCTTGTGCCACCTTTTAAAGTGGAGCAATACTTATACAATAGAACAAGCATATATTAAATTGTTTCTTTCTACATCAAACATAAAGCAATCAATTGAAATCTCAATAAAAAGACATAACTCTATGGCATTAGCTATACATCGCTAATAACCTGAGATCGGTAGGTCACTTAGAAAAAACGAAAACATCATACCGAATTTCTATCAAAGCTAACTTTATAAATATCACACCCACCTTGATGTTTGGCATATATTTAGAAAATCGTTCGTATTCTTTGCTTATTTGAAATGCTAATTCTCTGGTATGACACATAACCAAAACTGTTACTTGATTTTCAGTCAACTCCATTTGTTGAAGGGTAGCTAACACAAATACAGCTGTTTTACCCATTCCAGACTTCGCTTGACAAAGTATATCCATACCAAGAACTGCTTGCGGTATACACTCATGTTGCACTATAACACAGTATCAAAATTAGTTTGTGAATCAAAAACATCATCAGATAAGAACATACCCATGACAAAAACTAACCTTCAGAAGGATGTTCAAAGCCGCAATCAACTATTGCTCTTAAAATTTCAGGCTTTAAAAGGAAATCTCTAAAACCAGAACTATGTATCGATACATAAGCTCCTTTCACATCTTTACGGGGAGCTGTATCTCCTGAACCTTCAACAATAGGTTGCTCTGTCTGTTCTTCATCTTCATAATCCAACAAATCATCATTATCAGCCATGATTTATAATTACCTAAACAAAAATTTAAATTAATGCATAATCAGATGAACTGTCATTTCAATAAATCACAAGACATTGGAACAAAATATATTTGAACTATTTAATACTACATCTACATACTTGGGGTAATGCACACAGCTAAGTTATAAGGATAGAAATGTTCATAAACACATTTTTATTAGACATTAAAACATTAATTTAGTTCTACCTTAAAAATAATAAAGGCCAGGGCAAAATAGTAAGATAGATAAAGATAGGTGCAACCTACTTCAGGACGTTATTTTAGGCAAACATGAAGTTGTGAAGCCTAAAAACCTCAAACATCCATTCATTCCAAATGCAAATAATCACTCATGCCGGCAATCTCAGATTCGAGTAAAAACATAAACTAAGAAAATAACGCGTAAATTACAACAAATTTAATATCCAGGCTCAATTACTAAATATAATAAACTCAGAAATAATTAGTACTTACACAAAGCGAATTACTGCGATACAGAGATTCTCCAAAGCAACGCTTGGCCACGAGAAACTAATATGGAAGCTTAGTACAACAGCTTGTGAAGAACTACATACATTATATTCAAGCAATATATTGCTCAGAAATGAAAACCAAACTCAAATTACTAAGATTTTTAATCTTAAACGTAAATAAAATTATTTAAATGCAGACTACTTCTTTTTTAAAAAAATATGTTTAAAAATAGTTTGTAATTAAGAATCGATTTCCATCTTGAATTCAACAGTGAGCGTGTTTTAAACTACTTTGTATTCTATTTATCAGTGTTCCATATACAATTTCTTTAGTTCAAAATAGTTAATTATACTTGTTCTTTTTGAAATCATTGAAGCTAACTACATCAAGAGTAATAATTTCCAATGCTAAGGCTCATAAAAAAGGTATTTTTCATGCTTATCATCAGTGTTGCAAATGAAACCAGTGATTTTATAACTATATAGCATTGACCAAATTTCAACCAAATCATTTTAATTGTTTCATACAAATATATATTTATAAATCGTTGGCGATACGGTTGTGGTTGGGTCTCTCTTGTCTCCTTCCACTATCTATTGTCGGGCAAGCTTTGGCCCACGCCTGATCCATCCAGGTCAGCTAATCGGCGATCGCCGAAGTCTCCCGATTTAGGGGATCATCAAAGGACCACCCAAACAAATTCGGTTTACATTTTTTATTACTTCGGTAATTGTTAACTGCACAACTTTATAATTTGTTTCACTAATATGACTTCTTTTTTTCTCCAGGAATCTTTTGCTTGTATAGTGAATATAAAACTGTTATCAATCCATGGTTATCCTTATTAACATCAGCAAAACAGTCTATTCTTACAAGCATAGGCATCGATGGATGGTGTGATGTCCCTGATGAAAGGAGTAGCTGATGTATCCCGCAGGGCCAAAGTGCAATCACGCACTTTTTCAATTGGCAAGTAAATTAGTTGAATGCAGTTTAATTGCGTGAGATGATACAGGAAATCAGGATTCAATCAACTGTGCACGAAATCAAGGAAGAAAAGTTTTGGAAGCAGATATATGCCGATATATGCAGAGTGCCAGCTTTAGGGTGGAGCAATTGTCCTGGGGCGCTGGCCGATTTTCAGGTGCGCTCGCCACAAGTTAGAATTTTTTTATTTATTTCGAAATATAATAATCTGTCACGTGGCAATAATTATCGTGAGATATGAACACATTCACACCATATATACAGAAAACATAAAATTAACAAAAGTAAAATAATAATCAAAAACTGTACAATAAAAAAAAAAACAGTACCCTTAAGATAAGTAAATTAAAAACATAAATACTCAGTCATACCTATATACAATCAGACAGGGAACCCCAAGTCAGGCTTGTCCCTCCAACTATAGTGTTAAAAGCAAGAATCCAAGAGATTCCTGCACTACTTTCTCAACCGCGTCACTGGTGCTAAAGCCAGCGGAGATTGAGTGAGAGCGCTTTAGCCACATATACTCATGTTTTGAGTGGATAATCTGGCCATTGCCAGAACTACAACATAAATACTACAAAAGATCTCTGGGCCACTGCCGCTTCAATCTTCTAGGAGGGTCGTAGGGATGAGTGGAACTAGATAGAGATTGTGCAAGGGGGTTTGGATGCTTTTTAAGATTCTAATGGATTTTGGAAAAATTTTCAGGGATAAGGTCTAGAACGGAGCATCGACTATTGTTTGGACTGAAAGGATTCAATGCGTTAGATGTTAGAAAATTTAGCTGTCCCCCAAAGTTAAAGTCCATAGGTCCAAATAGGTTTCAGGTCTTGTAGATCAGTAAATTTTTGTCAATTGAAAGTTGAGATTTTCTAATCAGTAGTCTGTATAATTGGCCATATCGCCTGTTAAGTTCTTGTCTTTTAAGTGTAGTATGTGGAGTTTCTGAGATTTTTGACATTTTGCAATGAACTAAAGAAATGTTCCATATTGTTAAGTTGATAATAAAATATTACAGGAACGTCAGGAACAGTTATTCATATAAAATTAAAATTAAACAGACCCAATGGGTGACTATATAGCAGTTAAAACATGAAGTTTCCTTGTTAAAAAAGAATCTTATTCGTATTATTGAAACATTGAAAAAGAACGTTTGTTAAAATTGATAATATAATCTATGTTTTGCTTCCTTTTGTTTTTAAACGTCCTTAAAACCCATCTATATGTATTTACCATAGCTAAATGAAAATAAATTGTAAGATTTTTTTTCAATACTCTTTCACGTTTCTACTGTAAGACAAACCGCTGTGCGGGTAGACTGGCCTTCAGCTAAGGGAGGTTGTTCTCGCCTAAAACAGAGGAAAAAAGTTGCCGAGCTTCCTCCTGAAAATTTAAATCTCCCTGGATGAAATAATTTGTTTTTCTTATCTTGGCCCAAGACTTCCATTGAAGTCCTATACTAAAATAATTATTTTATAAATAATTGAAGAGCTAACTTTCAAAAAGGCAATCCGATTTGGATTTGTTTTCAGTAAAACAAATGAGAGTACTACACGTGAAAAACGAATTTGATTACTAGTGAAATAATCATTCGTATTTCTATAAATAGCCTTGAATAAAACAGTCCTCATAATACCATTCTACAAATAAAAAATTGTCATGAAAAACTATATGAGACATGGCTATATTTATTTTGTATATGTTCCTTCTTGATCACAACACCTGGATTTAATCTCTTTTGAAAACAAAAATTAAAAAATCTAGCTATGCAAACTCTGAATAAAATAAAAATTTTCACTTTTGTTTATAAGAATGACCAACATTTTTCATAAACCATTAGATAGATTGAAATAGGCAACAGGGGAAGCTCTTGGATCAACGGATTACAATTTTCGTCATGCTGCTCTTCGCGAAATTAGTACCACATTCTCAAAAGGCTTCTGAAAATTGGTCAGATTTTATTAAATCAGTTACCTAGAAAGTTGTTTGAAACTATTTGCTTCTCAGATTCGTGAAAAGCTTCAAAGATGTCAGGGTTTATCAAATCAATTATCCATTGAGTAGTTTAAAACTATTCCAACCATTTTTTGCCTGCTGCTGATCGCACAATTTTTTAAAATTTGCTAGTCAGGTTTTATATGAATACTGAGTTCTGAAATTATTCTAACCATTTTTTTTGCCTGCTATTGATTACGTAATTTTCTGACGATTTTAAACTCGTCATATTCGTGAAAAGCTTACAAATTTTTTTTCTGAATTTATCAAATCATTTACCCACTAAGTGATCTGAAACTATTCCAACCGTTTTTTACCTGTTGCTGATGACGTAATTTCTGGCACTTTTTGAGATTTTCAGTCATCACAGTCATGAAAATCTTCCAAACGTTTGTCTGATTTTTATAAAATAAATTATCTAATAAGTGTTCTGAAACTATTCCAGCCGTTTTTCTCCTGCTGTTGATCACATAATTATTGTCACTTTTTAAAAATTTGATTGTCAAAATCGCCGTGTTTTTTATTAAGCCCTGTAAGAGGAAATAGTTCATTTTGTTTTTATTTAAAATGATTAGAGGACTTAGTTCAGTCCATCTTATTAAAATTAAAATTTTTAATTTTGAAAGTAATTTTCTAAATTACTTTATCAGTCATGAAATAATTATTTGGCATAAAGATTCGTTTAGACATTTCACAAACTATGGGAAACACAATTATCTAACGTGAGTAACAGCGACATTATTGATAAACCGAACTGTTTATTTTATTTCTCTTGATACCGAGAGCAGATGGAAAATATCAAAAACAAGAAACAAAAATGATAGCATAGTGAAATAACTATTCATATATTTGTTTTTCTCATAGTTTGTAAAATGTCTAAACACATCTTAAAATCACTAATCATTAACTTGTCAACCAATTTGTAAGAATAGTTTAGGTGTCCATAGCTACATTAGGTGTCCCCTACTCTTCAGCTTAAAATAAAAGGGTAGCTCTTTGTACATAGTATTTAGCTTTTCTTTAGGTCTAGAAAGGCGCAGACACTCGTTTGACTTTATGTTTTTTAGTGGTTTCTTTGTGATGTTCAGTTAATGTGTATTTCTGTATTGAAAGAAAATAAATAGTTCAAATATGAAAAGTATTTTATTTAGATTTTTCGGTGGCCTTAGAATTAGTCATAAACATAAAAATATATTCGTTGTAAACTATAGATTATTTTCATCTGAACCTAGTTTATGGGTAAACTTTACCTTTTTATCTTATAATGAAACAATGAAATGAATTCTATTGTTAATTTTAATATTCCAATTGAAGAATGAATTCATTCCTAGATAAAACCTGTGGTGAAGAATGTTTATCACAGAACTCATACTTGTGGTGAATTGAATTCTTCTCATGTCGGACAGAATGTAACATTGTGTGGCTGGCTTGAATTTCAAAGACTAGATCGTTTTGCAGTTTTAAGGGATGGTTATGGGTCTACACAAGTAATTGTTCCTGAAAATGTAAGAAGGAAATTTTAAACATCTTAGTATACAATTAGTTAAGGAAGATAGGTTTATCTTATTTATAAGTAATTTTTCTAATGAAGTTTTTAACTATATTTCTTTAATTAATTTTAATATTAAATTTTTAATATCTTATAGTAATTTTATTGCTACCTATTATCAATATACTTATTGCTATTTCACAAATATCTCATCTGATTGTAACACAGTTCAAGATTTGATAGATTATTCTATTGATAGAAATTAGAAGGTTGCTGAGTTGTGATCACTATAATTACTGAAGTGCTTGCTACACTCACTCAAGAGATGAACAAACCTACCATTGTTGAGATTAGTTGCCTCCTTATTCATTCAGACACTCTGAGGTACTTTTAAGATTCTAAATAAGTGTGATCGATTTGATCTTGACCCACCAGTCAACCAATGATACAAATGTGAAATATTACCCAGTACTGGCCTTAGGCAAATATCCTGGGGCACCGTCTTACAAGAACTATGAATATTTCTCATACAAACTCCTGTTAAAGAATTTTTGTGATCTGGTATCAGAGAACATATGATGGAAAAAGACCAATAAAGAGCTGCTTACAGAAACTGTTCTTTCAATGTCTCATGATATGAAGGCACTGAGGTTAAGTTGGGTGAGATATGTATTACCGAGCAATCCATTTCGAACCCTTTATATAACAATGAATGCCTTAATAGAAGCTAAAAGACCATGTGGAAGGCCAAATAGCAGAGGGATAGATATAATAAACAAAGGCAGAGTAGAGCTGTATGCAGATAACTGAAAAGAATTAGTTAAACAAGATCTGTAATGCAAAAAAAAAAAAATTATGTTAAAAGTGTGGTATCCGAGAAATAGGTTTTGAAAAAAATGAGATACCATGCTTCCGTATCAATTTATTTTGTTTTATCAGATTTTTTCAATGTATTGGTCTGTTATAGGTTTATCAAAAGCACGATTTTTTAAAAATCCTGTTGAGTGTCAACTAACGATTGCATACCTAAGTATCAATTAACTTAACATACTAAAGGTAATACTGTAGTCAGCATAACCAGTCCTAATTTGTTATCTCAGAAACTGTGATACTGAACTTCAATTTGTAAAAAAACTGTAAAAATAAAATACTTCAATGCACTAGTTCAAAATTTCAAAATCGATGGTATTTACTAAAATTTTAAAAGAAAAAAAAATGGATATTGGAGTGAATTGGAAATTCTGATCACTAAATTATTAACTATCTGTTTTAATAAGAATAAATATATTAATCTTAATTTCATATGATAAATTAATTTTTATTTACCTCTAGATATCTAGTGCATACAACCATTAATTTGTATCTCATATAAGTGCCTTTTTATATTTGTCAATTATTAAATGAAGTAAGTACTGACTAGAGTAATCAATGCTCTGTTTTCCATTAGTACTTTTTATTAAGTAAGTATTAAAATACTCAGTGATTGTTAATTATCAGTCGGAATATTTTTTGTCCATCTCCATATTTACAAGATTATAGTACCAAATTCCTAAAGTTGAATAATTGATCAACTCTTAATCCTCCCTCCCACCTTCAGAGAGGGAGGTGTCAAGATGGCCATAAAGCTGCAGGAAGGCTCAAGAACAGAAAGTTTTATGTAGATCGAAAGTCGATTTGTATTGTCAAATATTATATTATTTACTGGTATAAATATATAAAATAATCCATAAAATTGAAATCTGGTATCCTAATTTACATATTTATTCATGCTTTCATTTAAATTGCTTCAAATATTGCTAATTTATTGCAAAAAGTCACCACTAAGTGCATTATTGATATAGGTTAACATTCAAAACTTTTGTTTGTTTTCTTTCTTGTCTTTCCTGAATTTCTATAAGGACTAGATTTAGATTGATAAAGAATTATCAATAACTTCTTTATAAAGAGACCAGTTAGCTTTGGAGGTAATCCAACCTTCCCGCACAGGAAGAATCCATCCATCCACGATTACATCAGAGTCATAATCCATTAATATACAAAGATGGTCGGAATCAAGAACAGCCCTTCTCTTTTATTAGGCATTAATTCTATCAAGGTTGGATTATGGTGTTCAATTATATGGCGATGCAGGAAAGTCTTATTTAGATAAATTTGATAAAATACAATATAAATCATTAAGAGTTTGTATAGGAGCAATGTGGTCTACCTTAATAAATGCCCTTCAGGTGGAAGCTAGAGAAGTCCCATTGAAATATTGTAGGGAACTAATTTCAAGATTTCTTTCCTCAAGAATTATTATAGCAGAGCACCCAACAGTCAGGCGCATCAAACAACTAGCTGAGCGGGTAAATACCCACAGTTTTTGGCACAAAAAGAAACCACCTTGATTAGTCAGCAATTATTCAAGACTTGCTCTTTATTGGGAAAACCTTTTTATTCCTTGTCTGTTTGTTTTTATAGGCATAAGACCCTCAGGTCATCAATGCCTTCGGTTTATTTCAACTATAAGTTTATAGAAAATTTAGACAATATTATTAAAGAAAAGAAGAAGAAGAAAAAAAGAACACTATAGAAAACTGTGTACAAAAGTTATCAAATTACAGAATGAAATAAGTAGAAATGGTAGGTTTTAAAAAATAATAATACTGTAAAAGTGCTATAGTTCCGTGTTTTTAGAAATATAAATACCAATGTGACTGAAGTTTCATTGTCATTAAGGGCTATAGACAAATTAGGGGTCAATCCAATCCTATTTATACCTGAAATGTATTGATTACACTTCTCAAAAATATGTTTAACAGAGAGCACACAATGACAATACTGATATGACAGTAACAGCTGCTTTCTAATAAGGGGTGAGTGCTGTGTGGCCAATCCTGAAGCGGGCCAGAGTGACTTCCTCCCTACGACTGCTGTGTTGAATGTTGATTATGGTTTTACCACCTTTTTAATATGTTTTAACTTATTATTAAGGATTTCATCCCACGTCGCTTACCATCCATCTGATATCTTTATTTTCAGAGGTCTACTGAGTTCTGCTGAGTTGAGAACGGTGGCACCTTGGCCAGGGAGGGGCTTGTTGCCTACAATCCCGATGTGGCTGGGAATCCAAATAAAAATGTATTTATAGGCCGGATGGTCTGTCTGTACAAATAATTTGGAAAAGTGAAAAAGCGAGTTTTTGTCATCTTAATGAAGACAAAGCTGAGGGATTCTGGATGAGGAGTGAATGCACTGGACAGGTTTCTGGCGAACTCCTCATATTTGTCTTCATTAAGAAGACAAAAAGTCGCTTTTCCATTTTTCCAAATTATTTGTATAGACAGACCATCCGACCTATAAATAAAATTTTCTACGACTTTCCGACAGAAACCAAACTCAACCCTACCTTTGGCAGAAATATTTTATAAAGTGATTTCAACATTCAAGAAGACTTCATTACAAAAACCGGAAAAAAAAAATTCACCCTGGACCTTGAAACAATCTAAAACAATATTAAACCTCTTCCATATTCTTAAAAATAATAACACCTCTTCTGAATATAAAGAAAGATTATCTCCCTCTCCCCCAGAAAAATTTAATTTATTTCTTAAATTGTTTTATATTAAGTAATATTTGAATTTTATTTCATTCAATACATCTCTAATTCACTTGCTTTCTTAATAGGATAAAATAGGACGGTGCCCCAGGGTATTTGCCTAAGGCCAGTACTGGGTAATATTTCACATTTGTATCATTGGTTGACTGGTGGGTCAAGATCAAATCGATCACACTTATTTAGAATCTTAAAAGTATCTCAGAATGTCTGACTGAATAAGGAGGCAACTAATCTCAACAATGGTAGGTTTGTTCATCTCTTGAGTGAGTGTAGCAAGCACTTCAGTAATTATAGTGATCACAACTCGGCAACCTTCAAATTTCTATCAATAGAATAATCTATCAAATCTTGAACTGTGTGTCAATCAGATGAGATATTTGTGAAATGACAATAAGTATATTGATAATAAGTAGCAATAAAATTACTTTATGATATTAAAAATTTAATACTAAAATTTAACCAACAAGAACAATTGGTTTACTTATTAATCATAAATTTATTTAAATAAAAACCTGTTTTACTACAGTCCATGAAGGGCCTTGGGTTCATTACTATTTAGGGAAAGTTCTGTTTCAAGGCCAGTGGTTGTGCAGAGAGGGAATCAAGCTTAACCGCCAGGTTTTCCCACAAAATAAACTATTTAATTAAGGGTATATAATTTATAGAGGCTGGATGTGCCCCAGGAGGGTCTCTCTATCCCAGGTTCTCCTCATGGCCAATGAAACAGAATAAATAATTTTTCTGCCATAAGCTGAGATTTGAACCTGGGACTTTGAGCAGTGGAAGCTTAGTGCCCTACCACTTTATTTAAATAGAAGAATATAATTGTAAGGTGAGCGCAAAAAAACTTCAGCAAGAAAAGAGTGGCTCAGCTCCTAGCAAAAACAGGAAATGGTTTGCTCATGAGCTACTGAATTTTTTATTGGAGGTTGATGTACTCAAATCAATATTGTCAACTTCTGAGTGTTTAGGTGATGACAGGATGATGATCAGTGATGACACAAAATACACTTACTAGCAACCCTAATAGTCCTAGAGCCCATCAGAAAAAAAAAAATTATATAGTTTATTAAAAACTTTAAAGGCATTTTTTTGAATATTTATAATATCTTTATATAAAAAAATGAAATTTTGTCAGTCGGATCTTATTTCTTGTGGAAATGGTGACTAGTTAAACGAATTTTGGGCCAGTAATTTGAGGATCGAAACGGAAGATTCATCGTGAAAAATGTGAGAAAAGTTATTATTTTTTAAATTTGTATGTGTTGGTTGAGACATGTAAAAAATAAAATTGCTGACGCGCGCCACCAAGAAAAAAGTTTTATAGCCAAAAAAGCCATATCATTTCGATGTTTTTTTTTGTTTTTTCATCTATAGTTTCTAAATGGTGCAACAAAGCGAAAAAACTTTTCTTTCAT